ACACACCGTGTACACAACGCTACACAACGTGGCGAACACCAGGCTGCTAACATTACATTGCGTTCATAGCACCATTTCCAAGAAAATAATAAATTACTAGGTCCAGTACATGTAACAGCAACACATACTACTCATAATATAATTATAAACCAAGTCACTTACTTATCCAACAGCAGCAAGGCAACATCCGTGTCTGCCCTCAGCCCAATTTCTTCCTTCAGGGCTCTCCACCGAGGAAAAGCGACGCCAATACAAATCCTTGTTTGCCTTCTCCGTTGGTCACTTTCCTTCTTTGCTAATAGACCTTCAGCCGAATGTCCAGGCTTTTTCTTTGTGGTAAGATCCACTTCTGAACCATGTCTCGGCCGCTTCTTTGGGTTCTCCGCCATGTTGCTTTCTCTTTCTACCTGCGCTCTACCTCATGCTATGAGACTCTCCGCTCTTCCTCCCCCTGCCTTTCATTTCCTGTGCGCCAGCGCGGGACTGTCGCTGGTCGACACACAAACAAAAAATGATATATATTGAAAAATACCGCAAGATGTTAGAGGAGCCGATCAGCTTAATCAGCATTGTGTCATCTCCTCTAGTAGTGGCTTGGGTGAAACGGACATTTACGGACACGTAGAAGTTACGCACTATAGCTTTGAATCTGAGATTTAGATGTACCCCGTGCAAGCTAGTTTAGGTAAGTCACCAATACTAAAGTCTATCTCTGTCTTATACAGCAAACACATATCGATGGAGGACAGACTTTGACAAAATACAAGCAAAGAAACCTAAAACCTCAAGTGCATTAGTTTGCATTAGCATAGTATAGGTTTTGACAGCATACATGCTAGGCCTAGAGTTTGCAGCTTTTGGATATAAACTTGACTCTGGAGTTTCTTTACACTATCTACCAAAATTAAATCGTAGCAGATACTAATGTATCTGGCATGACCGCTAACATGGTGTCAGCCACTTCTAGTTAGTGCACAAGCTAACAAACAACATAAACGAATAAAAGATGCTAGCTACACTTACCATTTTGGTACTTCTCATCTGAGTTTGGGTCTCATTAAGGCACGAACATATATGGTTGAATCTCTTCGATATTTTCTTTAACGCTAATGCTAGCCATCTTGATGCATGCTCCGCCCCCGGGGACGGCACCAGCCTTTGAAGTCAATTTTATGTAGCTGCCAAACATGGAATTACAACTTCCGGGGCCTACCTGTGATGCTATGGGGCCCAAAAAGACTTTTTTACCCACAGAGTTACATATGTAAGTCACGTCTGTAAATCAGTAGATACATTTTTTGGAGCATCACAGCCCAAAAGAAATGATTTGTTTCACCGTTGAGATTTGACCCATTTTGTCCAATAACATTTCCAAGTCTAGAACCAAGCAATTAGGTAATTTTTATCCCCACTTAAGTTAGTGGAAGGCTAAACCTGAAGTTAGCCAGTTAACTAGTGGAAATTAGCCGCTTAGCCGTGCTCAGCTACTGTAAGTTTCTTATGTGCCTGCTCTATGGGCCCCACATTAGATCCAGATAATTTTATACTGTGGAAATTTTTTTTTTTTTTTTTTTTTGCTCTGTGCATCAAACACTGTATCCAGTTTTCTTTAAACACCCATCACTGGTCAACCTAGCTACCTGGCTAGCACACTGGAGAAAGTGAAAGCAACTGTTAACTATTATGTGCAAACTCCTTGTCAAACAAAATATTAATATTAGTAAGCTATAAGTAAAACATGTCTGGAGGGGGATTTTTGAATTACAAGCAATAGTAGGAAAGGAACAGGGATCATATCCACAGCTCTAACATTATACCAGTGATATCAGAGCGTTTGTGACAAGTCAAATAAAAGAGAGATAATAATTTGCAGGTAGTAGAGCAGAAAATACATCATTCAGTAGACATGGTGTAACTTAATATGTCCAGAAGGCATTAAAGTGAATGTATTTATCGGAATTAAAATGAGCAATGCTGAGAGACTGATCTCCACAGATACCATGAGGTGAAAACCTGCAGGATGAAGTTGAAGAAGCTGAGTCCAGAACTATCGAACTTCTTGGCAGGCGCAGCGAGCTGTTGTCAATAGTGATGGAGAGGTCTTATAGGATTCATGAGTTTGAGCAGAAAAAGTGCACCCCAGTCTCAGCTGATATTGAGTTTGAGGTGAGCTCGAGGCTAGAGAAGATAAGCATGTCGAATAGATATAAAAATAGAGATGGATGTTGTTGCCATAGAAATGGAGAGGGAAGTTCTGAGATGTGAAGACTACAAGTGTGATGATGGATGAGGTGAAGGCCTTGGAAAGAACTCTGGGTCCTGCTGCTTCTTTGATCCTTCATGCTGCTTTTTATGAAGGTAATGTCTGTATTTCCAGGGCCGTAAAGTTATTTTGTCTGTTACACAAGATAAGAAAATATTCACCCTTCCATCACCTTCTCTCTGTCTCTACTTTCTATTACCTCCCTCTGTTGGATCTGAGGTCATGCTATCCTCTCTCCTGCATGCTGGTCAGGGTTTCCGGAACAAAAACACAAACAGGCCATAAATCAGACGCAGGTTGAGAAAATGTCTCCGACTTGCTCTCCTGCGTGCCACGTCAGAATGACCAATGTGTGTTTTTGTTTATCTGTTGAACTTCTTCTCAATGCTACAATTTCATGCAAGGTCACAGCGTTAGTTAATAAGCTGAGGATAGAAGTGAGTGCAATTTAAACGCGCCGATAATGTTGCCAGGTCTATAATATTGAGGCTCTATCAGCACTGTCGCTGCAATGAGCTGTCGAGAATGACTGCAGACTTTCACCCTTCAAACACTTCAGCTCTCACTGCATATGCATGAGTGTATTTACACATAGAAATATCAGGGAAGCCCATGCAGCAGTGTCTGGTAACCACTGCCAGTGTGTGTGCGTTTGTGTGATTATTAATAGCAGAGCAGGCAGGTGATGAGCGAAGGGTCGCGACTTTCACAGCAGCATTCTGACAACAGATGGAGCCTTTGATATCATCCCCTCAGATCTTTATTTAAAAAACAAAAACAAAATGAAACACAAGATTAAAGGGGCAGGTGTGTGTTTATGTCATGTGAGAGAGAAAGGACATGTGGTGTGTGTCTGCGAGAAGCGAGACATTGAGAGGCACAGGTCTCCTGTATAATGGGAATTCCACAGGCTATTGGTGCAACTGGTGAATTGAGTTGGCATTCTGCTCTGGACTCCAACATAAGAATAGCCTCCATGCAAACACACACATAGGGTGCCGAAAATACAAAGAGGATTACTATGGTTGCAGATATATCCACAAAGCATGTGCCACACTCCAGCACATTCTGACACAGGGAAATGAAAGGCATACAGCCTGCTCATTATAGCATCTGGTTTGTCCTGGTGTTTATGTGTGAACACCGCATATGAATATCCATCTCTGGATCCAAGCTCTTCAGACAGAGTCCTGCTATAACTAATACACTAAAGTAACCAGGCTGTTCTCATGCACTGTTCGTATGTACAGCTACAACAAGCAATGCACTAGAATTCATATATAACCCATGCAATTATGTGACCAATGCATTTACAGAGTAAAGAAGGAAGTAATACAAACAGCAAAAGTCTGCATGAGGATATAGGTTTTGGTGGTGGATGGGTCAAACAGGAATGCTGCTCAGCATTGCAGCAAAAAGCATTTTCCCTATAGGCCACCATTATAAAAGACATGTCTGTAAAACTTGTCAGGACACTTGAACTGCAAACTTGGTCAGAAACTATTCTTTCTATTATGAATTTTTGATCCATGGAGGTTTTATATTTGTAAAACTTATCTGGAGGTAAGAAAAGCAGTTTAAAAATCTGTGACATCATCACAATGTAAAGTCTATGAGCCGAATGGGCTCATAGACTCACAGCCAGGGCCAGTGGGAGAAATGCTACTGCGCATATTCAGTGGGCCACATACTGAGGAAGTAAACCCGGAACTAAAAACTTTTTTGCCATGTGTTCCAAGCGAGCAATCTCATCAGAATGAATAGTCAACATCTTGGCATCCGGTACTTAGGTATTATTATTTATCTATGACTTTACCCCAGGAGACTGCTGTTCTTGTTCCATGGAGGGTACTTTGTCACCGTCTTTCTTTTCCTAAACCTAACCCACATAACTTTACATGAAGAACATACCTTTATGTTAGTTCGTAAAGTGATGACAGCCAACCAAGTTGCTTTTCCTGAACCTAACCTACATAACATTACTTTCCTGAACCTTACCTACATAACGTTACTTTGCTAAACCTAATCTACGTAACATTACTTTCCTAAACCTAATCTACATAATGTTACTTTCCTAAACCTAATCTATGTAACGTTACTTTCCTAAACCTAATCTACATAACGTTACTTTCCTAAACCTAATCTACACGTTACTTTCCTAAACCTTACCTACATAACTTTACTTTCCTAAACTTAACCTACATAACTTTACTTTCTTAAACCTGACCTGCGACACGTAACTTTCCTAAACTTAACATACGTAACTCTACATCAAGAACATAAATTTACGTTAAGTACCTAGTGAGATGACACCCAACCAAGTTTCTTTGTTAATACTTAATCTTCTGTACATACTTTTCCTAAACCTAACCTACGTAATGTAACTTTCCTAAAGCTAACCCTTGTAACGTTATTTGCCTAAACCTAACCAATGCAACTTTGCTTTAAGAATGAAATTTTACGTTAGGTGTGTAACGTGATGAGGCCCAACCATGTTTCTTTCCTAAACCTAATACACGCAACAGTTACTTTCCTAAACCTAAGCTATGTGACTTTACTTACCTAAACATAAGTTATATAACTTTATGTTCAGTACACAACTTCACGAGAAGTACGCAAGATAACAATGCCATTCGTTGCTTGCTAATTCATTAGATATTATATGAACCGTTGCATGTGCATTTTTGTAAAATATCAAAACCACCACTGTAGGGGGATACATTAAAAAACACACCAGTAGCTCAGATGTATGTATTTATAGACATGTAATGTACACTAACATTGACTTGGTTGTTATATTTCATAAAAGTATCAGTGCCCTTGCACACATAATGCAGTTTTGGCTAGTTTAAATGATCTATGTCAAGAGATCTGTCCATGACATTTCCATGTGATTAAGGCAACAATACTGAGGCCGAGAAGTTCTTGAGCACTTGTGCTCATTCAGCCAAGGAATCTCAAGATGTTCATTCACTTGCAAATTGAGGTTGAATGCAGGAAAAAAAAACCTCACAATCTGACAAACCTCAGCTGGTCAAACAACATGCCATCCTCTCAGGGTAGGAAGAATAAAGATGCATGCCCCTCTGTTCATGCATTATGTCCAAAAATTGACGTGGATTGTCAAAATTTTGTCAACTTTGGTTAGGAAGCAGTGGTGCAGCCGAGGGTCAAGAACTGGTCGTACAGGACTCGTGCTTTACTGGGTCAAAGACTTATGTGCTGAAATAACAGTCTTTGCCTTCCATATGGCCATGAATAAGAATGCTGTATAAGAAATTATTGTTTGTCACGATATGGATACTGTTAAGATGTTTTTCAATATTGACACTGTCCACAATAAAGGGAAATTTTGAGGTCATTTGGGGTGCTAGTCATGCATGAAAGTAAAGTAAATTGGCAGTGTTTGATAACAGATGGCAGCTGAAAACGTGAGGTGCAGTGGGCAAGTTTCTTGCCTGGATTACATATAACAGTTTCCACATGCAGCTTAACGCAGTGATTTCTTCTTCCCTATTTGTTGAGGTGGTAAATTAGGATGGGTATAGCTTAAGAAGACCAAATGTCCCGCTGTTTCAGGGGGCCTTGAAGGGGTCAGCGGGTGTGTGGTTGAAGCTGGCATCGGCGAAGATGGCCAAGGTGCCCACGGTGGTGAAGATGACAAATATCCAGAGGAACATGCGGTCCACCACCATGGCCACATACTGCCAGTCCTCCTTTAGCTGGAGGATGATGAATGGTTGGATGAATGGGGTGGACATGTTAAACAGAATGGGGGGAGGAAGAAGGAGAAGTTGGGAAGAAGTAGTCGTGGAAAGGCGGGAAAACACAGATGAACAGATGGGATAAAAAGAAAACAGAGTAGAGTTCAGAAACTAAATGATGGCCTTTTATGATCCATATCAGCTAACTCAGACAGGCAAACTTACAGCTTCATAGTCCTTCTCAGCCTGCAGAGCCTCAGCGATATATGTGATGGCCTCTATGGCTGATTTGAGCTCGTCAGGTAGCGTGAGGTAGCTACTGGGGCCATCAATGAACTTTCTCAGATCTGTACACATACCTTCCGGCTGGAACCTGAACAACAAGACACACAAACATTAATGTCACAGTAAAATATCAAGAATGCACATTTGATATTACAAATAAACCTCAGGATTGATTCAGGAGAAATGAAGTGTGTACACATAAACATCCAAACCGAACATGAGCTTGCAGAATGCAGTGACCTGTGAGCAGACTAATTAAAGCTGTAAAATAGTAAAGCGTCTATGAGGCAGGCTGCACGTCTCCTTTGCACTCTTCTGTCATTCAGAGAGGAATAAAGAGAAGGTCAGAGGAGCTCCCCGGGCTCGCTCTGCCAGTGTGGGAGTCACCACTCTGCATCTGCTGACTGGGCTGTTCTGGCTGAGAAACCGTCCCTGTGCCTGTGTGTGTGCATGTTTCTGTGTTTACTTGTTGCTCTTAGTTACCAACCATCAGCTGCGATGGTGTGCCAGCGGTTGCTGGGGGAAGCTGGGAGAGGGTGCCTGTGGGTGTTTTCGTAACTCTGCTGTCACTCACAAGTTTTCACATGACAGGTCTAACAGTAGGTCAAGTTGTTTTTGTTCCTTATGAAAATCGTAACAAAGAACATTAGCACAGCCACTGTAAGGTACTGGTTGCACCAGACCAAGTAATGCTGTAGAAAAGTTGCAGCAAAGTTTTCATTTGGTAGAGGACAGATGTGCTATTTCTTAATTCAAAATCTATATTGTCTTGTTGCTCTTGAAGAAACTCATAGCATTCCTCATTAACCTTTTCTGTTCTGCTTTTCCCTGCTGATTTCCTATGCATTCTGGTACAGAGTGTCCTTGAGCAATGACACATGGATTTCCATTGGCTGCTTCCAGTAGAGCGTCCGTCACAGAGCTCTAATACTTCTATAACTTTAAGTAGTGATACAGCACGACTCTCTCTGCAGGACGTCACAGCTAAGACATTTGGTTGAGAAATGAAATAGCCTCTGAAATAAAAGGGTACTTCTGGTTTATGTAGTTTTGGCCATCATTTCTATCAGTCATGATAATATTGTACTCACCCAAGTATCAAAAATGTCCAAAGGGGCATGAGAGACGAGCAATTAGACTACTTTTGCCAGATTATCTAAACCAATGATTCTCAAATACCTCTTCTCCACAAACATGGAATGGGTTATGTTCCGGTGCCAACGCCTAATTTTGTACCATTCATAGTATTCTGACCAAAAAATAATTGGTTCAGAACCCAAAAAGTTGGTTCTCAGCTGGAACCAAAAAATAGCAAGGTTTCCATGATCTGAGTAGGACGTTCGCTATCTTGCAAGGGGTCGTTAGCTGAAAAAAAAAAATTGAAAACCTCTGATCTAAACCACTTTATTCTGAGGTCAAACCAAAAGCGTGTATAGAAAATGTCTGTCATAATCCCTTATTGCATGTACATACAACCATAGCAAGTGTAGTAGGTCAAAGTAAGAAGTTAGAAGAACTTAGTCAACGTAACTGATATAAAAGTTCATATTAAAAGGTTCAGGTAATAATATTTCTTTGGTTCTCTAGGGGATTGTTGTAAACCCGATTGACTGCTTGTATTTCTATTCTCTATTTTGTTTTCTAAATGTCATTATCACACATAGGATTGAAATAAAATAAATAAAATAAGAAATAAAAAGGGATTCATGTCGTGGGATTTTTGGGCCTATTATGACAAGGAGCAGAAACACATAGCTCACAGGCACACAAAAATGCATGTAGCAATAAGTGTTCCTGCATATAGTGTTTGTAAAATTCGTCTATTAAACTAGACATAATGGAAGCAGTATTTCCCCATAACAAAATCCCTTAAGCTCATCTGCTCTTGGTCCTTGCCATGACCTTGTCCAAACCCACAACATTCTGACATATTAACATTTTTCTCCTCGCACAACAGCTGCTTCTGTTTTCTTATGAAACACCTCAAATATTAAACACCTTACATTTTCTACATCCTATGAAAAAAAACCCAGACAAAATGAGGACTTGCAGGCCATGCAGCTAACCACCAGAGGGCAGTATGGCACTGTGTCTTTAACTCTAAACATTAAAAGGGAGAGTAACCTGACAGTCAGGACAAAGTAGAGAGCTGCTTTGTATTCAGTGCAGCAATTTTGGGGGTTTACAATGCAGCGCTGCCGTCGCTGCTGCTCCTGCGAGTGTGGCAGGTGAAGAGGCTGTGACCTAAGAGAGGTGGAGCCTCATCAGATAGAGAAAGAGGGAAAGATAAGAGAGGGAGGTAGAGAGAGAGGGGGAGAGACACAATTTGGCCTCTTCACCCCCTCCTCCCTTCTCCCTCCTGTGTGGCTCAAAGTAGCACTTCATCAGCGAGAAGTAAATGACTATTCAGGAGACTAATTCAACTAAAAACTGGCTGCGTCTGGTGCCAAGACATGCACTAAACCCAATTAAGAAGGTGGGTGTGAATGTGTGTGTACGTGTGGGCTCAAGAGAGATACTGCTGTCTCATCAAATTGCTCTAATAGAGCATCCCTCCCCTCGCTCTTCCGTCACCCGTTCTTTCACCTAGACACGCAGCGTCCCGCTCTAATGTGTCAGAGTGGATTTGTGCGGGTCATTATTATTTTAGCAACGATCCTCTGCCGCCTCAAGTCTTTCCCCCTAGACATATTTCACTTCTCACAGGAGGTGAAGGATAGAGAGAAAGCCACGGCTACAGACTGTGAGGAGTGTTTTGGTGTGTATTAATAGAGCAGCAGGGAGGCTGAATAATTAAGGGTGTTACATAGTGACTGATTCCCAAGACGTACAGTTGCTCGTTTTACCAAATTCACCCAAACAAGGTCACCCATTTCCTGTGTACAAAGTATAGAGACTTGGGTTAGATTGCTAAAACGGTTTGTCACTTACTTGTGTGCCAGCATTGGCCCAAATCCAGCCCTGAATTCAACAGCTTCAGGGGAAGCACTCAACAGTGTAGGTTTCATTGGAGGTATTTGGTTCTAACATCTATATGCCCTTTTAAAAAATGTTCCTCTTTAAGAAAAATAGCTTTGTTTTGTACTTTTTAGCATACTGCCCCCACAACTTTAATTTAAATGCACTACTGTCCTGGTGCAAACACCTCTCAAAGTCTGAGCCAAAGGTCAAAAAGTGAAGAGCTAATATTTCATTCATTTCATTCCTGATCAGTTCCAACCTTGCAATGGCCCCAAAACTGAGGATAACTTTATTTGGCAGCCTGAATTTTGGCAGCTGTTAGTGGAAGCATATAAAATCTGACACTGTGATATTTACACACAGGACGTGTGATATGTGACAGTGATCTTTAAGAAGATGTGTTGGCACAAAGCCTTTAGAACAGTCTAAAACCTAAAACACATCAGTGTGTCAACTTGATTTCTTATGCTTTTCCTTATTTTCTGGCATATAATGTTATAATGTCAGATATTTGTATTAAACATGGCCAAAGTTTCACATAATGAGGTAAATGTACCTAAAAGTAATCCCTGTGAGAAAAAAAACTCACTAGCCTACACTGCTACATGAAGCTACATGCTAACGTAGGTGAAACCTGGAAACTTGGTTTTTAATGTTGTTAAGTTCTCCAGTCATATTCTTGCTTGACCATGTCCGGTTGTGTTAAGAAGCTTTTAGTGGCAATTTTTCATAGGAGAAAATTCCACTTTACTCCATTACTTCACTCCCCAGATGCAATGACATGACATGTATCAACCTGATCTCACAGAAATACGTGAAATGACCACGACCTTTTAACACCGCATTACGTGGTGGCAGCACGTAATGGGTTGAAATTACGTGCTGCCACCACGAAAACAATGCCAATGTAAAGTCAATTAGGGTCCTCTCCTGTGGTGGACACACGGATTCCCTGATTCAATCACGTCACGTCAACCTCGTTTTCCTCAATGATATCTTTAACATTCCTGTATACACACAAAAACGCGGAAGTGTTCTTGATATTAAAACGGCAAATACATTCCCCTGTTATAATTTCCCACCAATAATAATAATAATGATAATAACGTGATAGTTCGGCTGTTCTAGATATTTGTTATAGCCTATTCAAATATTCAATCACAAAAACGCCGTTTCTAGAGAACTTGCTAAAATATCTGAAATGAACCATCATGCCTACTTTTTCTTAACATATTTCATCTAGGTGCAGTGTCATTACTAGTTCAGCTTTACTAGACATTTGATATACTCGGTAGATGTATCTTTTTACGACCCTGTTTTACAACAAGCCGCAAAAAACCTACCGTCCCAAAAACGCCGTTTTTAGAGTACTATCTAAAATAACTACGATTAGCCAATATCCTTGCTTTTTTTCTTAACATAGTCCATCTAGGTGCAGTGTAATAACTACTTCGGCTTTACTAGATATTAGATTTATTCAGTAGATCTAGCTTTTTACAACCCTATTTTACATGCCGCAAACGAACCTACTGTCCCAAAAACGCCGTTTCTAGTGTATTAGCTAAAATATCGAAAATTAGCGGACATCTTTACTTTTTCTTACCATAGTTCATCTAGGTGGAGTGTAATAACTAGTTCGGCTTTACTTGATATTAGATATATTCAGTAGATATATCTTTTTACAACCCTATTTAGAGCCCTACTTTGCAAATCAGAAGAACTACAACTATGTTGCTGATATGTATCAAACTGCATGGCGCGGTCCCAGGGAATTGTAGTTTTTTAAAAATCTAAGTGTTTTTCCCAGATTTGGAAGTTGTAAATATTGAATTGAGAGTACACTGTGGACTTTAAGGGGATGGTAAACACATTTGTGAAATCAGATTTTAAATATCTAATTTCTAAATGGGTGAAAATTAATTTTATCCATATTTTATCCATATCTGACAGCACCCACAGTTGTTGACTACACTCACATGATAGCTGAGGTCAAGAGCTCTCTATAACAGTTGGTCCCATGTCTGTACCCCCTTTAGTTGCTGAGTTATAAGCCCTCAAACATGCACTGAGGTCAAGGTTCAAAGGTCAATGGCTGAAAGCAGGAGCCATGTAGAATCTTCATACTGACATATGTCACTCTCCAGGTTGAGACCTTTCCAATGATGTATTTGGTTTAGCTCTACGACGAAGTTTAGATTTTTTCATTTTTTGGACACAAGCCATGCCAGGTGTAGTTTCAGAGAGCACTTTGAAGGCCCCGTGTATAAAATGAGTTTTGTTTGTTTCTTTGCTTGTTTTTATCTTTTTTACTGTAGATAGTTACTAAAATGAGTCATCCTCAGACAATACAATACTACTAAAAAGTAAAACCAATAATAACAATAATGAAATAAGCAAAAATAATATTAAAATCATATTGAAATGTTAAAATCTATTTACAGAGTGGAATGGTAGCCTAATAGATAACTTAGATAATATTTATTATTGTTTAGACACTTTATTATTGCTTAGATACTATTTAGCCTATTATTGTATTTACTTTTAGCATGTTCTACTTTTGAGTAATTTCCGAGAAGTTATGATAAAAAAAATAAAAAATTACAGACTATAGGAGACAACCTCTTCAATGTCTCACGTCAATTAATTAACACGATTTGTCGGCTTTTTATAATGCCTTTTTTTTTTTTTTTGCTGCTGTCTCCAGTTGAGAGTGGTGATTTGCTAAATACATTCTACAATAATAATTAGATTAACATTTGGTCTATAATATTGTTGGCTATATTACGCATTTTAATTAAAAAAACGGAAGAATAAAAGAAATAAACACCGAAATATTTACTTTTTTTTATTGATACTCCTCTCACACACACACACACACACACACACACACACACACATTGAACACGCGATTGAATGAATGAATGAATGAATGAATGAACATTGGAAGTGGTTCAGCCGCAGTCCCGCCGGCTGGGTCACATTGAGATTACATTTGTTTTTTATTACTAACAAAATGTTTTATATTGACCGTATGAATGGTTTCGTTTTCAAATAAATATTTGGAAACGAAAATATGCTTTGGTGTACTTTTACAGAGTTTTGCAATATGTATATAGCCTACCTGTATCAAAATGTATAATTTTCAGCAGCGGTTTGTGTGACAGCTGCCACGGTCGGAGGTATAACCAGCGGGGCAGCCGCTGGTTCTGTGGCGCTGGCTTGGGGTCCACTCTCCCCTGGTGGAGTGGAGGGTGGCCGGGTTGCCAGGGGCAGACGGCTCCATGTGATGGTGTTTCCTCTCTGGTTCTTCCGTGCTCAGCCTTATTTTTATCTTCTTATTTATTTATTTATTAGTGGCGTTTGGATTCAGTTACGGCAGACGGATGGCAATCTGAAATGGAATGAAGCCCACAGACGGCGGAGAGCAGCTACAAAACAGTAGTGGAACGCGCCCCATCCGCCCACAGCACAATGCTCTTAAAGCCCTACGCTATCAAAAGCTGGCAAAATATATTTATTTTATTTTATGGCCTTGACATTAACCTGTCATATTGTTGAGTTATCAAGGACACTTCCATGTTTTTGTGTGTATACAGGAATGTTAAAGATATCATTGAGGAAAACGAGGTTGACGTGACGTGACTGAATCAGGGAATCCGTGTGTCCACCACAGGAGAGGATCCTAATTGACTTTACATTGGCATTGTTTTCTTGGTGGCAGCACGTAATTTCAACCCATTACGTTCTGCCACCACTTAATGCGGTGTTAATAGGTCGTGGTCATTTCACTTATTTCTGTGAGATCAGGTTGACCTGCAACCACATTCTGTTTGGAGCCTACATTACACGCCCCTAGAAACTAAACCCACCACCAGCACAAGACGAACAAACCAGTGCGATGGTTACTTGAACCTGGCTACATTGTCATGTTGCAGTAAATAAATATGAGGCCAAACACAGCAATAATCTACTTTATGATTCACTGTACATGACGATGTGATTCAACTTATAAGTAACAAGATATAACCTTTATCCTAACCCTAACCCTAATGTTATCCGTCTTTCTTTTATCCTAACACTTAATAACTAGCTAAAAGCTAATTAAGCAGTTTCTTCAGGTTTCCACTTCCGGACCAAATGGTGGAGGCTGATTTTGAAATGACACGTAGGTATGATGGGTGAATAATGTAGCTGGTGGGTGGTGTCAAGAAGCTGTTTCAGCATCAGCTATACCTACAGCTGGAAGCACCAGTCAGAGTAGACTTTGCTTTCTTGGGAGAGGGTCTTATAAGCCCCTTTTACACTGACAGATTTTCCGCGAATGTTGGGCCATTTTTCGGGCAAGCTGTGAGTGTTTAGACACACAGAGCCGGATTGGCGAGTTGATCCGAGGTGCTCAATTTTCCGCCTCGTAGGGTCATATTGGCAGATCCCTTTTAGTTTAGACAGACCGATGAAGACTTGTGGGAGCAGCTGTTGATGATGCCGCACGTGCGACCCACTGGCGGTGGATAAACAGGAAACAGCTGATAGCAGGAATTAGCGAGCAGCTAGTAGCAAGAGGGAAACGCAAACCTGAAAGACACTATAAAGATGAGCAACTGGGGAGACAAGGAATTGCGCACCCTCCTTGTCCTCACAAACGAAAAGGCCATTGACCATCAGATGAAGGGAATGGTGAAGAACGGGCCGACTTATGAGAGAATCGCCGAAGGACTGACCAGCTGTGGCTTCCCTCCCATGTCACTGTTTACGTCACACGCTGAGCTACACGTTTTGTTACTTGCTCACTCCCCCTGTTGCCCCGAAAAAGGCGCATTCTGTATAAACAAAAGTAGGCAGATGGCATTTTGACGCACTCCCCAATTTTGTTTTTATACTGCCAATGCTGAAAAAAGACTGATTGGGCTTTCCTGCAAATTCGCACAATTCCTATCTAAAAAGGGCTAAAGAGACAGGTGTTAAAATAAAGCTTCTCAGAAAATGGGTGAATACGACTATATTAAGGTAGACAGTATGATTTAAAAAAAAGTGTTTGTTGACCGTTAAAGCATATAAACATGTTTTTGCTGAAAACCAAAATAAGAGTATGAACCTGAAAATGAACATAATAAGTCCCCTTTAATCTAGAAAACAACTAAGATATGGGTACGGGAAAATAAAATATTTGTAAACATATATTAAAAATGGCGGCACAGTGGTTAGCATTGTCGTCTCAAAGCAAGAAAGTTCCTGGTTTAAACCCGAGGTGGGGGGTTTGCATGTTTTTCCTGCATCAGGAAGGGTTTTCTCCAGGAGCTCTGACTTCTTCCCACAGTCCAAAGACATACAGGTTAACTGGTGACTCTATGGGTTTGAATGTGAGTGTGAATGGTTGCCCAATGTCAGCTGGGATAGGCTACAGCCCCCTGCAACCCCCAAGAGGATATGCGGTTAGAGAAATGAATGGATGAATGTATTAAATATCCTTCCTTTCCATATCTGAGGTAACAGCTACACCTGGTGATGCTTATTAATGTAGAATGGGAGTAATATGGCTGTGGGAAAACAGCAAATGCTGTCCAGCTGACTTCTAAGATGACCTCCTACACTCACTTTAACATGAAACTCTATGAATACTAAACACAGGAAATGATAGCCTATATAAGCTACTGAATTTCATTTTATAGTGTAATCAAACACATTTTGGCTGTTTTGCGTTTCTACTGTACAAAGTTATTACTTAAACATACAACCCATGTGAAGGTGAGTCAGATATGGATTATGTACAAGTGGATATAAAACTGAAATTAAAGCTTTTACGTGTAATGCGCTCGCATGTTGAGGTCACACTTTATATAGGGTTTGAAAGACCTCTTTCACAACAAGCATAGAAAGGGAATTGTTCCTTGAAAGAGCTTTGTGTAACGCTTGGGTAGATTTGTGTCTTATCGTGCCTACTTGCATCTTTCCATTAACTTTGTATGCATAAAATCACATGAATTCTGAACACGTGCACACAGGTATTCACAAACATGTTGACCAAAATGCATACCCACGCATACACATGCACAACTACTAATACATAAACCTATAGTATGACCCTGAACTGCAGGTTCTCACCTATTAGGCTTGGGGAACAGGATGGAGGAGTCAGGCTTGCGGATGAAGTATTCATCGGCCACTTTGCTGATGGCGACCACCTTTTTCTCTCGGCGGGGCATGGTCTCCAGGGAGAGAGGGGTCTCCACTTTTGGCCGCAGCATGCCCAGATAAGGAGGCAGCATGTGGATGAAAATCTAGGGGTAGAGGAGAGATGAAAAGCACTAGAGTTACCTTCCACTTCATCTAATTTTACGCAAGTTTGGAGATCACAAATGTAAAAAAAAGAAAAAAAACATTCATGTATATTTATTTGACTCAAAACACCATTGGTAAAGAGAAGGTTATTTAACTGTACTTTCCACTTTCAGTCAATAGCTTTTTGGCCCTCCTAGACCTCTGAAATCCATTGTCTTTCCTGGTAATAAAAATCCATTTGTTTGGATTCCTGTTCCGTGATTTATGAGACAGCTGAAATGTACTTGCCCTGTATTTGCCTATTAAGGCTGAGAAATGAGTCAAAATGTTGAATTTAGCAGTGAGATAACCTTTGAGAACAGTTGCTGCTGAATGATGTGGGTGGGGAAACCAAATGGCCGATGTGTTCCAATTCCTCAACGTCTGCTCTCAAGGTGTCCTTGAGCAAATAACATAAACTCTGGATACCCTAGTGAAGCTCTTATGTAAAGAACAGTTGTACTGGGCAGCTCCCACATGTGTTTAATTAAAATAGAGATAAATGTCTGATAAAACCTCTTTGGCTGTCAGACTTGGACCTGCCTTTGAAAGAAAATTTGACTTGATATAACAGCAAACCAATGGGCAATATGTTAGTCTTGATCAATATCACAAATGCTGTTTGCCCCTGTTAATGGTTCTTTTATCTGCGCTTTGAAGTGCTTGGATATCCTTCTTTTGAAATAACTATTGGCTTGCCTGTATTGACAGATGGATGTCAATAAAAGCCCTCTGGCAAGGTTCATACTATACTCTGGCTACAATGGAGAAAGTATCAGGAGGTGAGGCGGCTTGACTTGTATTGTAGTTTGAAAGATAAAGAGTGACTTAGCTTTTATTCAAAATCAAATATGTCCATGTTCTTATGTGACCTTTCTTTCTATCCTCTCATTTCCCAGTATACTGCAACACCTGTCATGTTTCCCATACACTGTTCTCTCTGTGTGGGACAGCAGAGCAGTGACTCACACATTGTGACATGATCATAGCAGCAAAGCAGCCAAACAGCAGGAGCTCTAAGACACTACTTCAGTGTGTGTGTGTGTGTGTGTGTGTGTGTGTGTGTGTGTGTGTTATACGATGCTAGAATAGCTGATTTTAGAATGTTTGACTCTGCATAATAAAAACAGACTCCTGGCCAACAATAAGTAAATACAGGATTTAGTATTTTCCCACCAAAATCAGTCCAGTCAGCAGAAAAAAATGTTGGCATTGTTCTTTTTTGCAGACCACGAATATGTTACATCTGTAAGTTTCATATGTATAATATCAACGTTTCTAACATGACAAATTGCACGAGCTGCATTTGTCATCTGGAGGTGGAGGGAATGGCATGACACCTAGGTGACAAACCTGCCAAGCTACAGACCGCTGCAAACCACTGTTCGAGAGCAATAAACAAAAGAAGGCGGTTGTTTTCTAAGCGAGTCACTGCTGTGTCTCCAGCAACTTTTTAGCTACCAAACATGGCTATTTTAGCAACCTGCTGCTGTGTTTCCACCGGGGATTGTGCTGCAAAAAAGGGTTGTTTTTTACCCAGACTATGTTGTGTTTCCTGCCAAAATAGTGCCATAAAAAGCTATAGATTTTTTTCCCAAGGCATTGCTGTGTTTCCTGTCTGGATAGTGCTGCAGAAAGGGGTTATTTTTTGCAGAGACATCACTGCATTACCAGCCAAAATAGTGCTACAAAAAGCAGTTGTTTTTATAGAGACATTGCAGATTTTCCAGTCATGATATGCTATGAAAAGCGGTTGTTTCTACAGAGACACTACTGCATTTCCAGCTGACAGAGCGCTATGAATAACAGCTAATTTTCAGACATTTTTAGACATTTAGACATTAGACATATTTTTAAGACATTGCTGTGTTTACAGCCAAGAGAGTGCTATGAAAAGTAGTTGCTTTTTAGAGAGACATTGGTGCGTTTCCTATCGGGATAGTGCCACAAAAAGCGGTTGTTTATAAAGAGACATCACTGCATTTCCAGCCAGAACAGTGCTACGAAAAACAGTTGCTTTATACAGAGACATTGCAGCTTTTCCAGCCGGGATAGTGCTACGAAAAGGGATTGTATTTTATTGAGACATTGCGGCATTTCCAGTTGTGATATGCTATGAAAAGCGGTTGTTTCTACAGAGACATCACTGCACTTCCAGCTGAGAGAGTGCTATGAAAAGCAGCTGCTTTTTTACAAAGACAATGCTGCATTTACAGCCAAGAGAGTGCTATGAAAAGTGGTTGCTTTTTAGAGAGACATTGATGCATTTCCTGTCGGGATAGTGCCACAAAAGGGAACTGCCCATTGGTGCGACAGCCCATTGGTCCGACACCCCATTGTTCCGACCATATTAAACCCATTGTTCCGAAGTCCCGTTTTTCCGAAATCATCATGATGCCCTGTGGTTAAGGTCTGGTTAGGTTTAGGCACAAAAACCACTTGGTTAGGGTTAGGAAAAGATCATGGTGTGGGTTAAAATGAAAAAGAAAGTGACAAACACATAAGCCGTGAACCTGCTTCACCTCAAGCCTTTCCCAGCTGACCCAGAGCCGGTCGCGGCGCACCATCAAGGTAGAAATACGCCCGCTGGGAGCTGTTCAGCACCGCGGACCGTCGGACTAATGGGATGTCGGACCAATGGGCTGTCGGACCGATGACACGGACCCCCACAAAAAGCGGTTGTTAAGGAGACATCACTGCATTTCCAGCCAGAGGAGTGCTACGAAAAGCAGTTGTTTTTTACAGGGACAGCTCTGCGTTTCCTGTTTGGATAGTGCCACTATCCCAACACAAGCAAATGATCTTTTCCTAATCATAACCATGTGGTTCTGTGCCTAAAACTAACCACACAATAATCACCGGTTGTTAAAACTTTAAGTTTCAATGTAACTGCTATAGATAATGTACAAATGTTAAGTTTGCCAAAACATACAATGCCATCATTTATCCTGGAGATTGAGTTGTAAAATTTGATCTTTGGCAGAGTGGAGAAGATTTTAAAACATATCTTGCTCTTTATGTAGGAAAAAAAACAACAATTTGGTGAAATGAAATGATAGGATAAATACTTGAAAAACATGCTTTCACGTTGCACATATAACCCTGCAGGTGATATTCTCCCCACGTTCGAAGCAAAGTCAGGCCAGTTTATCTGATTAATTAATGGTTAGCCAAACTACTTTCCAGTTCACCCCATCATTGGCTCTGCTCTGGAATATTCCACTTGTGACACCTGTATAAACAAACAGAAGTGGATGCAGGAAATAATGAAAGCACATAAAATACACAATCTACTCAGTGCAAAGTGACTGTGATTGGATAACAAGGTGGTTAGCACTGCGACCTACATTTCAAGCCTTTGCTGGTTTTAACACACTTTTCTTACTGACCCCATGTGACACCTGTTAGATTTCCCACAGCTTGGTACATCACGAGCTGTGGATATAAGAGAGAAAACAGCACTCTGGAGATTCCCACTTCATCTACAAAGAGCTTATATCACACCAATGGCTGCTATAACTCAGCTAGTGTTGCTGCTCTGCCTATGTGGGACTCTGGCAGACACTATCGCAGCCGCAGAGAGCATCCAAGGCGACATCAAGGCTGAGCTGAAGGAGCTGAGAAACACACCAAGGCTGCTCTCAACACCCAGAGGATCCTGGTGGGTGAGCTGAGGAGAGAGAAGTCAGCCCTGAGTGCCATGGCCATCTGAGATGCTGAAGGCGTCGATCAAGATGGGGAAGGAAGAAAAAGCAGCAGAGATGACGTCTCTCCAGGGACTGAACTTTGGTGTCACTAAAGTGGCCTTCTCTGTAGTTTTAAAGTGTGCCGTTGGAGAGACATATGGACCATTTGACACACTTACAAAAGTCATTTTCAAATGGGTCGACACCAACACTGGCAATGCCTACAACCCCACAACAGGCACCTTCACTGTACCTGTGAAAGTAGTCTATTACTTCAGGTTCAGTGGTGTAGATAACCGTGCAAATATGTGGATGGGTGTTTGCTTGTTTAAGAATGATCAGTCTGTTAAGTACAAACAGTTACAAAACGGTGATGGTCATCGGAATTTGTCCTTTACTGTGATTCTTCAGCTGGAGAGGGGAGATGTTATTGACATCCGTATATTCCCTGATACAAGATTTGCGCCGTCAGCCTGGGGGGATGTCAACCTCTCTGGCTTCCTGCTATTTCCTCTTTGAAGTCTTAAAGAATGTTGCATGAAAAATAACAAAGTACAACTTTTCTTTGACATGTGCCAGATTTCTGACAAAGACTAAGAGTCAATGTATTTCAAAATGTAGGATTTTTGCTTCCTTGTGTAAGCTGATTGACTCGGATGTGAGGATTCATTTAAAAAACAGCAGAGCTAAATGCCCAGCATGGTACCATTAGAGCTGTAATAACAGAATACTAAGAGGAGACAAGTCAGTGTTTCCCTCATTTGTTCAAATTCAAGATATTGTATTAATACTATGAATAAATGTCATTAAAGTGTGCATGGTATCTGCTATTGTTGCTTGTTCTTGGCTTTTTTTTCAATGTATTACAATAAACGTTTGTATAAGAGAAGTGGATGTAGTCATTGTGATGTCTCACTGGGCTGTAGACCTTTGTAGTAGCGACTTGTCAATCACAAGATGGCCACACCCTTCTGTATCTTCTATTTTACCATAAACTGGGACAAAATGGACATCATGCTGTGTTGAAGAAGACTTGACACTAGCGATCGTGTACACAAAAACATTAGAAAAATGTTCACTGAGGTAATGAATTAAGTGAGAAGTATGGTCATATTCTCATAGACGTCAACAGAATCTAACTTGCTAGAATCAATAGAGTGACCCCCTGCTGGCCATTATAAAGAATGCAGGTTTAGGCACTTCAGCATGAATCTCTATCAACAGATATCTGCATATGTATGCAGAACCTGTAGGTAACAGGTCAAGATTTTGGTATTGGAAGCGGTTCTGGTATCCCTTTGTAATCTGATAGGTTGACCGACTGCATTTGAGCGGCAGGTAAACAGTCCATATGGAGGGATGGATTGCATTTGCCCATTGCAACTTCTGAACCCATTGTCTGACAATGATTTAGCATTACATTAGCTTTTTTTTTTTAAAAAAATGTATCTGCATTCATATGGTATGTAGATATCCATAAATAGAGATAAGCTGTAATGATCTGCACATGCTAGAGGAAGTTCTGGCTGAATATTCATCTGCTAAACCAAATATCCTGAAATATTGTCTGTCATCAGACCGATAGCTGTTCGTTTCCAAGATCGCTTCCAGATTAACTTTACTTGTCAGACCCAGAGGCTACATCCACTTCTTTTAGAGAGTCCATGTTTAGATGAGTCCTAAATCAAGAACAAGATAAACGTATACCTGAACATCTTTAAATTTCCCATTACTGACGCTTTTTGCATAAATCGTCCCTCTCCACATTTCATGACACTGATCGTCAGAAGAGTAGGAGTAAAAAGAAGCAGAACCCATAATGTTCTTTTCTCCCATCAATCCAGTACCAAGCAGTTTAGTTCCATTAAACCATGCAAATCACCTGTGTATAAGCCTCTCAGAGCTGAGTGTTCCCTGAAAGCGTGACAGAAGTTGGAGCAAAGTATAGAGCTGCTGCTCAGGCCTGTAATTAGCTTCACATAATGTACAGTGAGGGCAGCAGCCACTGATGGAGGTTAATGGTATAACATGACATTCAGGTTGTTGAGGACTGTGTCGACCTAATCCAATAGTCTGCCTGAACTGAGACTACCATTACCTACATCTCCAAATTAATTAAAAATTAGCATTACATTAATTAATTGTTTCAAGGCCACAATTTACTACATTAGTGGAGGGGTTGCTTTCCCACATAATGGATGTTGTGCATTAATTTAATTATTTTTTTGGTAAATTTAAACCCTGATTTGCATTATGTGTAGGTAATAAAATGTGCACATGGTTGTAAGGCCTTTGCATGTGATTGCACTCATTTGCTATAATTAGTTGGCTGACTTTATAGTTGAATAATGTATTCAAGCCTTAATTAGTTATTGACCAGTCCAAGTTTTGGTAAAGGAAGTGTGTATATTCTTTACTTAATAAAAGTACAAATACTGTAGTCTAACAATACTCCACAACAGGTTAAATACATTACTTAAGTAAAATGAAGTATTAACAGCAGAGTGTACTTAAAGTATCAAAAGTAAAATTACTCATTATGCAGAATGGCCCATTTCAAAATAATATACAGTATATTATATCACTGGATTACAATTAAGTGATGCATTAATGTGTTCCTCATTTGAATGTTGCAGCTACTAAAGCTGGCAGTGGCACCCCCAGAATTTTTTTATTAGGGTGGTCAGATTGAGCCACTGAAAATCCTGGGGTGGCACACCAAAACTAAAAGTCATGACTGAACTTCAGGAATTCGATTATTCTGTTGAAGTTACTGTGTAACTGTCCATAGCATTAGTTCAGGCCACAATGCCAAGCTCAGCTTACATCCCAGCTACATCAGCTCTTCATGCTGTGTCTGACTTATCAGTGTCATTTCTGTTTGTCATTAATGTTGCTGCCTTAGGCTTTCCTGTAAGTGCATGGAAGGGCAGGGAGGTTTGCTCTTCTGCCTCAGGCTTTCCTTGTTTGCGTGTGGAAGGGCAGAGATGTGTGCTCTTTTTGCCTTGGGCTTTCCATGTAGGCACATGGAAGGGGAGAGAGCTGTGCTCTCTCCGCCTAGGGCTTTCCATGCAGGCACGTGGAAGGGTGGAGAGGTGTGCTCTCGCCACCATAGGCTTTCTGTGTAGGCCTAGGAAAGGGAGAGAGGCTCCAGAAGAGAGCCATACCACCAAATATAATGCTGCAAACTGGAATAAAGTTTTCTTTGACTAAAACGGTCCTGACTGAATTAATATCAGTTACTAGTTACGATTTTAGTTCCACAAAAATCCTCTTTTAATCTGTTATGTATTTGTGTATCCACATTTTAGGTGATGAATTATTATTCAAATGGGCTGGTTGTCCTTTTCTTAAAAAGACAAATATACCATTTTAATTTGAATAAGTTAACTGATTGTAGGTAACAGAACATTTACTGGGAACAAGCCTTCTCAAACTAAGGGGAGACTCGTGGGTACCCAGAACCCATTTTCATTCAGATATCTTGAGGGGAGAGTTCAAGGGACCCCTTTGAAAATGGCCATGCCAGTTGTTCCCCTGCCTAAATTTAACCTACTTCTGGAGTATTATTTAGCCCCCCTTTCCCGCAAGCAATGCCACCATGGTTGGTATCAATGAACGCCTTAGGTTGTCTAGTTTTACAGCATACAACTACTTAGCTTAAAAGTTAACACCACAGCCTCCATCAGGCAGTAATGTTGGGCTCTAATTAATTTTGCCAGGAGGGGGCCAGCCCCTTTGGGGCACTACTGAAAGCTGGAGCACATTTTAATTGCTTTACATACTGCTGGGTATCTCAATCTATAATATTGGATTCTAATTTATTACCTGATTTATAATTTGTATTAATATGAATCTGCAAAGTAAGAAGTAACTAAAGCCATCAAGTATATTTAGCAGAGTAAAAAGTGTAATATGTGCCCCTAAGATGTAGGAAGCAAAAGTATAAAGTAAAATGAATAAAAATAATCAATGAAAGTACACATACCTCAAATTTGTACTCAAGCACGGTACTTGAGTAAATAACCTTGTCACTTTCACCACTGCTTTTGATGTTATTTAAAGCCTTTAAATTTGACATTGTGTAGTAAACATCAACACAGCAACCAGGGTTTACCAAAATGAGACCTCACCTTGCGGACCCACATGGGCATCAGGTGGGTGTTGGGTGAGCGGTGGTGCAGGTTGAGGACGACCACACTGAGGATGACGGAAAACGTGACCAGGATCATGGTGAACATGATGTAGTTGACAATGATGGGGACACCCAATGATGTCTCTGGGATCTTATCAGCCAGCAGCAGCAGGAAGACAGTGAGGGTGAGCAACACGTTGATGGACAGACCCATCTTCTCTCCTGGTAGGGGGCAAAAAAGAATACAGTGTACTTAACAATGTTGAGATGGTCTAACTTCTCGGTGCCATCTTGCTCTAATTTTCATTCTGATTTTACAATTACAGTGTGTTCCTTTAATTCTTTGTTACAACTCATCTAGTTTAACCAGGACATGGTTTGTCCCTCCTCTTGCTGATGTATCTGAGCAGCAGCTGTTCCATGTAATTCACCAGTAATGACTCTAATAGAAAATTCATCTCCCATCCTAAGTGAAGCTGATTGGCCAACAGCGCTAGGCCTCCCAGGTGGATTCAGTGGTCACTTAGAAACTGTGTTTACCACAGACTGGTAAGACTTGGTAGGTAATGAGAAACTGATGTGTATTAGGGCAGAGCATTTTTCTACAGTGAGTCATAACAGAGACATTTCCCCCACTCACTGCATCACACAGCATTACCACAAAGTTCAATATGTCAGAGTTTTGGTTGATAGCTGATCTCTGTAAAGTACAGTGCAAACAAATTACTGATCAGCTGCAAAAAGGTTGTAAAAGAAAAAAAAAAACTTTCACAGATTACCATTTTAGTGTCCTTGACTAGTCTTAAGGGAGGATCATCCTTTGTGAGCATGCATGTCTGCAGAGTATGCAGGAGCACAGAACTTCAGAGGTCCCGCAGGGTGAAAGACTGTGTTGTGTGTTGCTGAGTGTTGGAGATATCAGGCGTAGAGATGTCTGCCTTCTCTCCAATACAATGGAACAAGATGGCACTCGGCTTGTGGTGCTCAAAGCGCATTTGAAAATCTCAACAGCAAAATAATCCAAAGATCTTGTTGTGAGTCATTTCATGTAGGAACTACTTCCTTTCCACCGAAATACACCCATCATCCGCATCAGCACTCAGGAGGAAGTGTGCAACTACTCATGGGCAACAGGCTCTTGCTCGTGATGGCGTAAGATTTAAACGTTCTCGAAACCCAGTCCCATCTAGTTCCGTTACATTGGAGAGAAGGCAGACGTATCTACGGCCACTGGACCACTCAAAAAATGTAGTTTTGATTTTGGGGTGAACTGTCCCTTTAAAGTAATATGCTGACTATATTAAAATCAGTTTTTAAAAAGTGTAATTTGTGTGGAATTGTAAAATGCAATCTCCTCCTCATGTCGCTACAGAACAACTCCCTATGGCTAAAGGCTAGAAGGTTTCTGTGTGCCCTTGTATTATGAGCTTAAATAAGTAATTCCACATGGTTATGCAGTGTGTGAGTGAAAGGCACAGTAGGGTCTTGTTGGATTCACACTCATCTGAGGGAAAAGGAAATATAACCACCTCTTTTCCTAATGTTATATTTTCACACATTGGAATTATATGTTTTGTTTTGTAGACTTGAAATTGTTTCTTTGTCCGTGTGTGTAGCTCTGTGTGTGTGTTAAGGCAATTCACTGTGTTTACGGTGGTTGTTTCCTACTTTGTTGTAACGTTAAGACCACTAAAAGTCCAGTTACGAATGGCACAGATCAAAGATTTGTAGCAATGTTTTAGTTTTTTAAACACAATCATCCCCCTAATTATATCATATTTTCTAAAACTAGTTCTGCAGCATGTCTGCTGTAAATACAACAGTTGTCTAGAGTGGCTATGATCAGCTCGAGCGGCCACATTTTAATCTTACGTTCTACCTTAACTCCTTGCTGGGGAGCTTCTTGGGAGCGAGCCCCCACTGTATTATTAACTTTTCTTTTCCCTTGATTTTGGTACTTGCTCATTCCTTATTGGGTAGTTCACTGAGTATTGTGGTTGCATCTCTTGCCAGGGTTCGTAGGTTTGGTATTTTGGCCTAGGCTAAAGGTTCAGCTTACAGAAAGCTTCTATATTTGAAGATCAGTAATGAAACAGACTAATCTTTGTACACTGACTACCAACAGATCCAATTAATATGTTCATCTGATTATCTTAACTGGTATAAAGTCAGCATTTTATTAGGTATATTTCTCTGTATAACCAAAGTGAGAGCTGTGTCCTCGAACTGGCCACAAAGACAACATGTTTCCACCAGGTGTTGGCCTCTGCCACAGCTGTCCCTTGTCATCGATTCTGTTTGTGATATTCATAGAAAGGATCTCAAGGTAAGAAGGAAGGGGTTCAGTTTGGGGACCTCAGAATTACATCCCTGCTTTTTGTGTGGTTCTCTTGGCTTTATCATCCTTGACTCCAAACTTGCACTGTGGCAGTTTGCAGCTGAGTGCGAGGCCGTGGTTCTTTCCTGGAACATGGTGGATTGTCCCCTCTGGATTGAGAGAGATCTACTGGCCTGAGCGAAGGAGTTCAGGTAACTTGGGGTCTTGTTCACGAGTAAGGGTAAAATGAGGCGTGAGATGGATCAGCGGTTTGGCGCAGCAACAGCAGTGATGTGGGTGCTGTGTTGGACTATGACCGTTGCGGTGAAGAGGGAGCTGAGCCACGAAGCAAAACTTTAGATTTACCGCTCCATCTATGTCCCAGCCCTCACCAGTGGTCATGAACTTTGGGTAGTGACTGAAAGAATGAGATCACGGATACAAGTTGCTAAAATGAGTTTCCTCTGTGGGGTGACTGGGCTCAGCCTTAGAGATAAGGTAAGGAGCTCAGACATCTGGAGGGAGCTTGGAGTAGAGCCACTGCTCCATGGCCTTGAAAGGGGTCAGTTGAGGCAGTTCAGGCATCTGATCAGGATGCCTCCTGAGTGCCTCCAGCTAGAGGTGTTCCTGGCATGTCCAACTAGTAGGAGGCCCCGGGGCAGACCCAGAACACACTGGAGGAATTATATATCTTATCTGGCCTGGGAACACTTTGGGATTCCCCAGGAGGAGCTGGACAGTGTTGCTGGGGAGAGGGACATCTGGATTACTTTGCTCACCCTGCTGCCCCCACAACCACGTGGGGAAACAACTATCTAATCTGACACAGAATCCCTTTGTAACAGTAATTGGACAAATGTGTGATTGCCCAATTCAACCAGACAACAACTACACAAATAGGAAACGGTATTAGCAGTTTTAGAGAACACTGATAAGGCAGTATAATCCTAACTACAGCTAGATCAAAGTGGAAACTGTGTGCATAATAAATCAGACTGTCTCACTGTTAACTGGTTTGTATGCATTATTCTGTATGGTTGGTATACCTGCATCAGGAGGCAGGTAGAAGTTAAAGATGGCGATGATAGTGATGAGGATGCAGGGGAGGATGATGTTCAGGATGTAGTACAGAGGCTTCCTCTCGATGATGAGGTAAAAGGTCATGTCCTCGTATAGATCGTCGTTCATGTTCTTCCTGCTCGGCCTGTGTGTGATGTGCCACTCGCCACCCTCTGGAGAAACATTCACTGTTTAAGAATTTAGATCAGCAAAATGATGGTAACAAACCTGCATACCACAAGAGGGTCCAAACTAAAGTGCAAACACAGTCAAGTAAGTAAAAATACTCCTGTGACTATGATTTAGATATTAAGCAAAAAGTGTCTAATGGTAGAAAATTGAAGCATAGTAAAGGATTTTACTGTTTCACACAAAGGAATATATCCTCCCTAACTGTGTCATCAAACTTTTCCCTCCCTTCCTAAAAGCCTCTTACTCCCTATATTGCTCCATTCATCCATCCTCTCATGCGCTCCCACCAAATTCTCACCACTGTAACCTTCGTCCAGTTGGATCTCCCTGATCTCTTTGCCTTTTGAGTCCAGTGCATATTGTATCTCGATCTCTGTCGAGTCGTATGTGTAGGAGCGGAACTGCATGGTGCAGTTTTGCCAGTCAAATGGGAAATATGTTACCTAGACAGAGAAGCAAACAAGGTGGTCACAAGAGTCAGAGGGAAGGAAAAGGGCGGAAACATTGTTTTTGTTTTACCACACTACATCCGCCAATTGTATCACTGTGCTCACGTAACATCACTGAGCTGGCTAACATTAAACTCAGCCGAGGAGGTTTACATTTCACATTATCACAAGCACAAGTCACTCATCCATGAGTAGATGCACACTTCCTTCTGTGCAGTGATACTGTTGGCAGGTGTACTTTAGTAGACAGAAAGTAGGTCCTACATGAACCTGCTCACAACAAGATCTTTGGATTATCTTGAGTAACCAGGTCATAATTTGTGGAAAGAGACATTGCTGTTGAGTTTTTCATAGTATTTTTTGGTGCTTTGAGCACCCGAGTGCCATCTAGTTCCATTATACTGCAGAGAAGGCAGGCATCTCTACTGCTGATATCTCCAACACTACTCAACTCACACCAGATCAAGCTAGACTGATAAATAGCACAACAGGTAAGAGGAAAAATATGAGTTTTAGATTTTGGGGTGAATTTTGTGTGTGTTGATGCCTACCTTAACTCCACAAGAGCTGCAGTAAAGTGCAGGGGGAGTCCAGGTCACTCTGCCAGTACTATAAGCCTGGACATGGACAGGAAGGGCCACATCAAACACCCCATCATTACTGCAAACAGAGATAAAATGTGAATTAAAAAACTTCTTAGAGGTTATGAACTCATCACAGTCTTCCACCAAGGTTTACTGCTCATTCCTTTACTTCATGTTATGAATGAAGTAGTTCATTCATTCATTTTCCATAACCGCTTATACTGCGGGGGAAAAAGAAAGGAGAGGGAGAGAGGGCAATCTGACTTTGTAAAAAAAGAAATGTACAACTTTGACTCCACTTAATTTGAAAGACAAATATTGTACTTTTGACTACATTCAATGAAGGCTCTCATTACTTTTGTTTTAAAGTCAGCGGATGATTTTTTTTTTTCTTTTATAAAATGCAAAAGCCTATTAAGTGTGATCGTGCAGTTCTGTGTGTGGTTTGTTTGTCAAAGTGGTGTTCCTGTTCCTGTACCTCTACCTCATGCATGTGTTACTCAGACTGGGCAGCTCATTGGTAAAGACAGGTAGAGAGGAGAGGTCAAGCTGTTTCACATTCCTGGCAACACTGTAATAGAAGTTGACTTAACCTAGCCGACTAATTATGACTTGTTTACTGGCTTTCGGAGGGTTGTTTTAGAGGGGTCACTGATCCGACAGCCCATTGGTCCGACATCCCATTAGTCCGACGGTCCGCGGTGCTGAACGGCTCCCGGCGGGCGTATTTCTACCTTGATGGTGCGGCGCGACCGGCTCTGGGTCAGCTGGGAAAGGCTTGAGGCGAAGCAGGCTCACGGCTTATGTGTTTGTCACTTTCTTTTTCATTTTAACCCACACCATGATCTTTTCCTAACCCTAACCAAGTGGTTTTTGTGCCTAAACCTAACCAGACCTTAACCACAGGGCATCATGATGATTTTGGAACGGACTTCGGAACAATGGGTTTAATATGGTCGGAACAATGGGATGTCGGACCAATGGGATGTCGGACCAATGGGCAGTTCCCGTTTTAGAGTCATTAGGTTCTGTAAATGTATTGTGACAATATACAACAATACGTTGAGGTTAAAAAAAGTACCTTGAATACTTGCATTTTTAAAAAAGCAAATACTCCAGTACTTTGATTTAGGCAATAGAGTTTTGTAATGTGTGTCCCACTGGTGACGAGCAGTTAAAAGTCTCCATTTGCCAAATATTAACCGCTTATGCTGCTTACTCAGCTGCACTTATCATGTAATGGCAGCATCCCAGGTTTGAATCCTGCCCGAGGCCTCTGTTTCATGTGATCCCACTTCCTCTCACTCAACCTTCCTGTCTCCTTACTCTTTGAAATAAAGCAGAGCTCACAGAAATTAACTACAAAGAAAGATAGGGTGAAGCTCTGGTCAGAGTCAGTAATTATATCCACTGTACCTTTATTAACTATATCTCATATGTGTGATTATTGCAGTCACACCGCTCCTTCCATTCTGTCACCACAGCTATGGAGTACATCAACGTTTGGCTGCAGTCCCAAACTGCAAGACCCCACTAAAACATTTTAATTGGCATGGATGAAAAACGGGAACTCGACACATTTCACAGGACACTTCAAAGTGCAGCACTAATGTTGGACGTATACAGAGCTGTTTTGGCTGTTAAGCTCGTAACACTGTACACAACAAAGACATCAAGACAATTAGATACAGATTTAGCCGTCTGTCAGGGTGTAGCGTTTGGATTTTATAGCACCGCTAATTTAACAAGGAGAAGCTTGTGTCCTTAAAGCGGGCCCTTCTAAAACCCTGTCACCGTGAAGGTGCTGCGGCGTAAACGACCAGCATTGATCATACACACAGAGAAGTGTATGCAAGCCTTTGCATTTGTGTGTATGTTTGTATTTGTGTGTATGTGTGTGGTTCCAAGTGAGCGCCTCCCGGGCTGAAGTAGCTGAGCGGTGCCATCAGAGCAGTTTTTAGGGAGCCATGCTGCTTAATTGCCTATAAAGTGTTGATGAATGGAACAGTGGGGATATTTACAGCAGTGTTAATGGGAGCCTGTGCGGGTGTGTGTGTGTGTGTGTGTGTGTGTGTGCAGGGGTGTAAGAAAAAAAAACTACACTGAGTATCTAATAGTTAGTTAGTTTCTAATTTAATACTGTGACATAGTTTTCCCATTACATAGGTACTGTAGTGGACCTGGATTTGGACTTAAACATAATGGGTTCAGGGTGTTCCTTGCCAACACAGTGGTGTTTTGGTTTTGCAAGCATATCAAAAAATGTGCAGCTCATTCATGGACAATCTGGTAATAGATACTTTGTGCCTGTACTTTGTTTTAATCAGTGTTCATAGCACATTGTCTTGTCTTTATTTTGTATCTGCATTTCTTGCATAATGTAGGCTATGTATGTAGAGCAAAGCTAGTAGAATTCCCCTTTTGCTCCACTCTGTAGAAGAAAACTAGTTTTGCTAAATATACAGTACAGGCCAAAAGTTTGGACACACCTTCTCATTCAATGCGTTTTCTTTATTTTCATGACTATTTACATTGTAGATTCTCACTGAAGGCATCAAAACTATGAATGAACACATGTGGAGTTATGTACTTAACAAAAAAAGGTGAAATAACTGAAAACATGTTTTATATTCTAGTTTCTTCAAAATAGCCACCCTTTGCTCTGATTACTGCTTTGCACACTCTTGGCATTCTCTCCATGAGCTTCAAGAGGTAGTCACCTGAAATGGTTTTCCAACAGTCTTGAAGGAGTTCCCAGAGGTGTTTAGCACTTGTTGGCCCCTTTGCCTTCACTCTGCGGTCCAGCTCACCCCAAACCATCTCGATTGGGTTCAGGTCCGGTGACTGTGGAGGCCAGGTCATCTGCCGCAGCACTCCATCACTCTCCTTCTTGGTCAAATAGCCCTTACACAGCCTGGAGGTGTGTTTGGGGTCATTGTCCTGTTGAAAAATAAATGATCGTCCAACTAAACGCAAACCGGATGGGATGGCATGTCGCTGCAGGATGCTGTGGTAGCCATGCTGGTTCAGTGTGCCTTCAATTTTGAATAAATCCCCAACAGTGTTACCAGCAAAACACCCCCACACCATCACACCTCCTCCTCCATGCTTCACAGTGGGAACCAGGCATGTGGAATCCATCCGTTCACCTTTTCTGCGTCTCACAAAGACACGGCGGTCGGAACCAAAGATCTCAAATTTGGACTCATCAGACCAAAGCACAGATTTCCACTGGTCTAATGTCCATTCCTTGTGTTTCTTGGCCCAAACAAATCTCTTCTGCTTGTTGCCTCTCCTTAGCAGTGGTTTCCTAGCAGCTATTTGACCATGAAGGCCTGATTGGCGCAGTCTCCTCTTAACAGTTGTTCTAGAGATGGGTCTGCTGCTAGAACTCTGTGTGGCATTCATCTGGTCTCTGATCTGAGCTGCTGTTAACTTGCGATTTCTGAGGCTGGTGACTCGGATGAACTTATCCTCAGAAGCAGAGGTGACTCTTGGTCTTCCTTTCCTGGGTCGGTCCTCATGTGTGCCAGTTTCGTTGTAGCGCTTGATGGTTTTTGCGACTCCACTTGGGGACACATTTAAAGTTTTTGCAATTTTCCGGACTGACTGACCTTCATTTCTTAAAGTAATGATGGCCACTCGTTTTTCTTTAGTTAGCTGATTGGTTCTTGCCATAATATGAATTTTAACAGTTGTCCAATAGGGCTGTCGGCTGTGTATTAACCTGACTTCTGCACAACACAACTGATGGTCCCAACCCCATTGATAAAGCAAGAAATTCCACTAATTAACCCTGATAAGGCACACCTGTGAAGTGGAAACCATTTCAGGTGACTACCTCTTGAAGCTCATGGAGAGAATGCCAAGAGTGTGCAAAGCAGTAATCAGAGCAAAGGGTGGCTATTTTGAAGAAACTAGAATATAAAACATGTTTTCAGTTATTTCACCTTTTTTTGTTAAGTACATAACTCCACATGTGTTCATTCATAGTTTTGATGCCTTCAGTGAGAATCTACAATGTAAATAGTCATGAAAATAAAGAAAACGCATTGAATGAGAAGGTGTGTCCAAACTTTTGGCCTGTACTGTATATTTGGTGTAAGTTTATGTCATCAACTAATGAAATGCATTAAAGAAAACTATTGACTCTAAATAGATTTATAAACATTCACAAATCAATTTTGGGATTCGGAGATGCAAGGTGTTCTAGAAAAAAACCCTTGCCATGTAAGTTCAGTGGTGGACAAAGTATTCAGATCCTTTAAAGCTGGGCTAGGCGGTTTAAGTTTAGCATCATTGGGCCAAAAGTTTATAATAAACTTTGCACATATTGTAATTTAAGTGGTCCGAGGAGAAAAAGTCTTGTGTACCTCCTCTTGGTTCTGTTTTCAAGCTTTGGAAAATCTAGCCCGCAATGGGGGACTTTAGCTAATCACAGGTCATTACAGAGTGAGGGTGTCCCTATTGGCTGTTCTATAAATGCAGATGAGCATGCATGAAGCCTGATTCATAGGTGGATAATCCTGCAGAGAAAGTTCCTAATTCAGCATCAGCAACAACTATCTGCACTGCAAAGCAACCAAAAAATGGAGGTGGACTTATCCAAAAAGATTCTAAAAGACAGTCTGACAATGAATAAATAAAACATCTGTCAGTACCGCTGAAGCCTTTCAGAGAAGGAAAGAAAATGCTGCTAATAGTTTAGCCTTCTGCTAACCACAGCTAGCAGCACAGCAACAAGTTCTCAGTCTCAGATGGCATATCAATCATGAATCATTCATTTGATCTAGCTCCGACAGACATACCGACACACACCACTTTATTCTGTTAAAACAATACTCACAGCTTGGATTCATTTTTATGAAAAAAAAAAAATTCTTTTGATCTGAGGACCCTTACGGACTAAAGGAATATGAATAACTTACAGGTTTATCGAGGAATGGATCCACATAATTGGACTATATGACCCCTTCAGAGGTAGCAATCCACCACCTTTTTTCAACTCTTGTTTACCATGCCGCTAAATCTGAATGAATTATTCTCTGGTGCTCATGGTTTCAGTAAAATGACTTGTACGATTTAATTATGGAGAATCTAACCGAGCTAACAACATGTAGCATCACCATATTGACAAGAGTTTAAACATTTATATTTGTATGCGCAATCTAAACAGCTAACTGTTAGCTCAGGTGGGGTAGCCAACAACTTGATTTTATATATCCAAAGAGCTTCTATAAAAATGAACTGCTTGGCAACCAGACCAAGTGAAATGTCAAAATGTGGAGCCACAACTGGCTAGTAAACCGGACTGGGGGTTTAACTGGGACTAGGCTTTTAATTGAAGCTTTACAGTACTCTTGTAAGGTAAAAGTACCTCCGATTTGTACTTTATTAAGTATTACAGTAGCTTAACTCGTTAGGTAAAGTTAGCACAGCATAGTGCCCTGCATGAGCTGCTAAAAGATACTCCAGACATGCTAGCTGGTGGATTTTCTCCAGCAGACCAGTCATGGGGGGTTAAGAGCTTTTACACAGATTTGCAGAGCTACCTTGTCTTTAACATCACCTCTTCTCACTACCTTCATGCTTAAAAGAACCTATTATGACCTTAAGTGAAAGGAGCAGGCTCAAAGGTGATTATATAACCAATGTGCAGGGTTAGCAGTGGAATGAGCAGGCTGGATGTATATCCAATAAAGACACAACCATGACCTTAACTCATGAGCTACTTTGACATAAATTTGTCCTCATAAGTCATTTGTCACATTGTTGTGGTATCTGAGTCTACATGTCTATCACACAAGGAGCAGGCACATCAATATGTAGAGGAAACACTAAATGCCCCATGGGGCCTATGCAGAAACCCTCCCAGACAAAAAATATATAAAAAAAGGAGGAAGGTGACCAAACGGTTTCTCCTCTCAACACTGATTAATTCATGCCAAAGTGAGTGCTGTGCTTGTGCTTACTTATTGATGAGGACAATGTCAGGCAGCCAAACCTTCCCGGAGGGGATGCGCATCACCTCAATCCCATCATGCTCCTTGGGGTTCCATGACAACCGATGATCTGTCCATTCCTGTTAAAAGAAGTTTAAGAAGAGTATTTTTTTATGTGTGCGGGAATGTGGACATTACACACAAGTGCATAAAAAGAGCAGGGACAAGAGGGAAACCAAGAATGACAGAAGGGGAAACTTTACATTTACATATGTAACCAATTTGTCATTTCATCAGTTTATTTTTCATTTTTCCACTGCTGTAATTAGATTCCGCAGGGACCATTTCCCCCTGCATTTGTCCTTGCATAACAAAACAGCATTTGCATAATTTTTCATTTTGCATATGCTTTGTATTATTATAGGACTATTCCAAGTGCTCTCGCTTGGTTATTTGTGTAGTGTATAATGCCACTGAGCTGTACACAAAGAAGGAGGTCTTACATTAATATGCTCATTTGCAGTGGAGCTGGAGTCACTGCTGAGCTGGTCAAAATGATGGGGAATGGTAAGGAGTTATTCACTTTCAGTAGTCCGTGTTAATGAATGAAACTTTCTGTTTTGGTAAAGCAACCAGCTCTTGTGTCCTTCAAACAAACTGCTGACAGATTATTCATTGTGTGACAGGAAGGCTTGAAATGGACAACCAACTCCAAGTTGCAGCCTCAGCGCAACAAGCACAGTATGAACGGCAACATGGTGCGGTAAGAGGAGCTGACACACAAACACACTTACCAGATTCATGACAACAATTGTGCTCATTTCTTCATTTTTCATGTTCTGGAAGACAAAATATGAAAAATAGAGATAGCCTTTGTCCATGGTGACAGTGATCTTAGCTGTGTCGCTGACATAAACCCATGGCTCTAATCAATGTTGAGAGATCTTTTAAAGTCAGACATGGTACAAACATTCAATAACAGGATGTTAAGTTGGGACTCTCATTTAATTCTAAATAGCCTGCGTTCACATGGCGCACTGTTTCATTAGATATTTATTAATTTAACATTTGAAATTTGAAAATACAGAGAGGGTGTGCTGGTCAGATTATTACAGTGGCTGCCCTTGTCACAGGGCAAGGGGAAAGAGTTTTTAAAGACTGATCTGATATGAGTAGATTGATCTTTCAACAACTCAAAATTGGCTCTTTCACAGTGTTTCCTTGTGTATCAAACTGATTTTGCGCATGAGATGATAATTACATTAAATATATTACAATCTTCTCAGAAGGCATAACAAGATCTACATTTCTTTTTCTCTTACTGCATCTTTCACCTTGTGCCACTGCAGCCTTTACATCAGTCAGACAGCATTCAAGTGATATCGAAATGTTACCACATCCAACCTGGTAATATTGCTGTCATGACTTTTACATAAATGTGACCAGGGTGCTTAATTAGACATAAGGCGGTCTTGGGATCCCTTCCCAGATGACTTAACACTCATTCTCACCTGGACCCATCTAACCCTGACAACACACAAGATGGCCAGATGGGTCAACGACTCACATTTGACCTCAGCAACTCTGTAAGGGTTCACACCAAGCCTGCGACTCCGCACCAGTCAGTTAGAACTGAAGAAGCTTCTTGGATGAGAGGCGAAACATCTTCATCAAGAAACTCAAGCAAGTCCAGTTGCCTACGATTAAGCACTTATGAACATAAGGCTGACATGTTATACTGCCATCAGATTAATGTATAGGAGTGCATGTCTGCCTCCATATTTTTATATGCATTTTGATATATGAAGAAAATGATTGCAAACATCCTTACTTGCGCAAAAGAGTTTTTATGTTGCTTGATACGGTTTTTGCATTTGTTGAAAAAGACTTGATGCACTAAATGATATGGAAAGGCCCTTGCAGAAAAAGTTCTAACACTCATGACTTCAAAGCTGTTTGTTTGACACCTTCACTCATGCATTAGAATCACTGCATTTTGTCTTAGTCTGCCGACAGCATGAAACATGGACAATACCAACTGACAAGTTCATGAAGAAGTTTTTCTCTTGTAGATGGATTAGGTGGCCAAGGTGACTTGTTTTGTTTTAGGTTTGCAACCTCTACTTCTTCTACTCTATTTACTGGTGGATTACAGCCATGTGTAAAGCGTAGCCTACACCGCCAACTTCTGATGATACCAACTTTGCTGTACCTAGTTCATGTGCTACAAACTGTTTGATGGAAACACACTTTTCACTTTTTTGCAACATCTCAAAAGTTATCTTAAAATTCAATTGACATTTGAATGGAAACATGGTTAATGACGTTCTAGGTAACCCTCTACCATCAGGTTTGAACATGTTCATTTCAGTTTGTTACATACATAGAGTATCTTTTCAAATAAACTTCTGTGGTCACAAGAAATGTTGTTTTTCCGCACCGGTTGGGTTAGGTTTTAACAGACAAACCACGTGGTTAGGTCTAGGAAAAGATCATGGTTTGGCTTTTGGTCTCACATGGGACATGAACAGCTGTCTCCTGGCTGAAAGTCCTCTGTTTATTTTGCACATCCATCCACCTGACCTCCTCCCTACACGAACTTTCTCGATCTTTGTACTGTGTCAGTTGCTCTATGTGTCAAGAACTGCAGCAGAGTGGTTTATGTTGTAGTTGGTTGAATGCCTGGTGCATCGCATACAGAAGCTAATACAGAAATCTGCTACATTTGAATAAATATCATAATAATCTGGGCTGCTCTGATTGCAAATCATGGATCCGCAACAATGGCAGGTAAACTGCATCAGCATATAGCAAAGTTTTTTTCTTTTCTTTTCTAGAGCTGGGGCCCCAGAAGCCATCCTCCATGCCCCATATGTAAACATAGTTAAAGTGCTGGTGTTGGACTAATGTGATCATACCATCCTGGTTTGTTCATAGTACCTCAGACCAGCAGAAAAAACAGCTGATAGTCATCTGAGATATGGGCTGTTTGACAGTAACGGACACCAGCTACTTCCAGCACACAGCTCACGATGTGTGTCATTGAATGTGTGCTTCTGTGTGCATGTGATTGTCTATCCAGCAGGAGGGTGGAGCTTCCCTGAGCCGGGCCTGCTATTTAAAACGCTGGGAGGAATGTCAAGAAGACAGCTGGGACAGAAAGAGGAAGGCAGGGAGGGGGGTAAAGAGAGATTGACATCAACCATCTCACTCTCTCACCCTCACACAAACACACACATATCTATCTCATCACTGACCTATCGCTTACTGATTCTTCCTGTAAGTGTTTGAATTCACCGCAGGGGAGGATGTTAATAATAACACTGCTTTTATCCAGCTGACTAGTTCTGGGCAGACGGGGGATGGAGCATCCAAGTGGGTCACTTTTCAAGATCATTCCACTCCAGAACTTAAGTGTCCCATGTGACTTCCTCTCCAGAGTGAATCTGACCTTGAGTGGAGGTATAAGGAGCATGCTCACTGTAGATGTGTATGTAAATGCAACACTGTGTGGATATGTGTGTCACTGTGTGCTACACAGAAAAGAGCTGACAGGAAATTAAGGAACACATAGAGTGACCTGGTGTGTGTATGTGTGTGTGTGTTTGAGTGTGTACACGGTTTTTCCGCAGTCACACAGACAGAAGCCCAGTCACTGTGTGCTACTAAAACACTATTTACCAGCATGGGTTAATAAAAATCTGGTACTTCACATCAGTCGCATAACTCTATGTGCCATTTGGCTCAGCAAGCCAGTGAGCACTGAATTCAGAACCAGATGGCTCTCAGATATGTTCACAGTTTTGAATATAAAACTTTAGCTCTGCATTTGCAGGTACAGTAGGGTATTTTGTTATCCTGTCATGTGCACCTATTGGAGTACAGTGGTTCTCAGCATGGGAAGCAACCACTGTGCTGATTTACAGAGACATCTGTCAGACTCAGATTTGATTTTTAAATACATATTAATCAGAGGCAGTTTAGGGGGCCAGTTTTCCTGGATGAGCTACAGTTTTGAAGCCCAGTAAAATGTTAAGTAACAAGAGAGAATATGCAGCTGAGATACTCAAACACACCTGATGGATCCCTGACAAGGCATGTCATTAATGCAGGACATTGTGTTTAGTATGTCAACACTACCAAAATATCAAGGGGTACCATTCATCATTTTGCCCAGTAGACAGCAACCTAATCTCACAGAAATACATGAAATGACAACGACCTCTTAACACCTAATTTTGTAGCCATTTCATGTAATGTTTTAAAATTAAATGGCAGCACCACGAAAACAATGCCAGAGTAAGTCAGCTGGGATCCTTTGTTGTGGTGGACACACAAAGTCCCTGATTCAGTGACGTCACTTAGTGATTAATGTTACAGTTCCATAGGCAGGTAGTTTAAAAAGCAAGAGAATCCATATAGGGACGTATATGGTTCAAACTTACACAGGACTTAAACTTAGGAGACTGCTGTTTGTGTCCCATGTGAAACTAAATGTCAGCGTTGACTTTATTTTCTCTACTTTTATGTACTTACTTCATTTACGTAGTTACATCACATTACTAGCCCTATTGATGTCACTTTATGGTACTTTATGGTTTATGGTACTTATGTCCCATAAAAAATAGAATTATTTCAACAAAAAACACAATCTTTTTTGAAACCTTACCAAGAAGTTTGATGCCTAAATCCAACTATGCCACCCCCGTACCTAATAAATGTACTAATTTTAACGGAAAACACAATCTTTTTTTAAACCTAAGCACATAACTTTGGTAGCTATAGCCAACCATGCCACCACCAGGTAATGCGTTAAGAGGTTGTGGTGATTTGTATGAATTTCTGTGAGATTACATTGGGAAGGAGATGTGTTTAATTCTGGTGATATCGCCAGTCGTACAGACACAACTACCAATGTGATGGTCGAGAATGTGGTTGTATTAACTAAATGTGGTGCCCTCTGACCTTCCAGCAAAAGTGACATAGGCACAAATCAAATCTGAACACAAGTGGTGAGCTGGAGACTCATGTTGATGTGTCTCAGGTGTCTACTTGTGTAAAGATCACCAAAAGCATTTTAAAACCAAGTGTGAATACAGGGTCTAGTGTAGTGCATAGTGTCTTGACTGTCACATGAAACCCCTAAAAATCACAATATTGAAGGGCTATCTAAACTTACCTACTTTTTGTACAATCTTCTGTTTTTAAGCCTTTTTTATATTGTAGTTAGCTAGCTGTTAAGTTAAACATTAGTTTTGGTCGCCTAAAAAAAAAAAAACAGTTTTTCCAGTAGGCCTACGTACATTTTGTTTTAATGGCTTTAAGCTTGTTTTTTGCTGGCAACAATTGGCATTTGTATTATCAGAGCTGTAATGCACCATGCTAACCAAGCTAGCAGCTAGCATTATGGTTAGCCCCACCCTCTTATCCAAATATGGTCACTTCTGGCTTCAAAAATTCAAGATAGTATGTCTTGGCTGTCACATAAAACACACACAATGTTGAAGGGTCACCCAAACACACCTACTTTTTGTCCAGTCTGTTGTTTTGAAGCCTTTTTTATTTTATAGTTAGCCTAGCTGGACTATCCCTTGGCTACATACATTATATTAAAGCTAGTTAGCATACTACTTTTAGCACCACGACCAGCATTTTTATGAATGAAACAAACATTCATTAGTCTACAATATTTTGTATTGAAGCTCCCTCTTTATAACAGTGTTAGGTAGGTAACATAACCATGGCTGAACCCCAGATTTACCAAGTTTAGACTGAGCTGAAACTTTCACTAGTTAATTGTAACGTTTTGGTCACCTAAAAAGTCTTTGGTTGTACCAGAAGACCCTCCAAGGAATCAGCTGTTCAGTCTTTCCATTTATACATTTTGTTTTAATGGTTTTAAGCTTGTTTTATGCTAGCAAAAATTGGCATTATTATCACTGCTGTAATGCACCATGCTATCCAAGCTAGCAGCTAGCATTAGGGTTAGCCCCATTCCCTCATTCAAATATGGTCACTTCTGGCTCCGAAAATACAACATTGCGATAGCCATAATGCCAAACTCAAGGCTTTATATGGGAATCCACATACCAGTGGGTGACATCATGGTGGCTTTGTCTGTTATCCTATATAGGGTATGATTTGAAATGAGAAATCTTAGTAGAACCTCATCACTAATCTGCTCCATCTATCCAAAGCAGAATTAACTTTATTCTCTTCAATTTTGCTGTTGAGCTGTTTGACAAGCCTCTGTTTTTTCATCCGGCATTGTTGTGCACATACATATAAATGTATGTAAGTGTTAAGATCTCGTGCCTCACCAGTCCAACGAAGGAGGAAAGGATCATACCCACACGAACCACCACCCGCTCTTCAGGCCTCAATGCTGGCCGCACCTTAAGGTTGTAGTTGGTAAAGAGCTTCACCATCAGAGCCTTCTCCATGTCAGATGCAACTGCATGAAATATAGACAAGGAGGTTATTTGATTTTGTTAATAATGGATTTTGAAAAACCCATTGACTTTTAATTCAAAAGTCATAAAGACATGAGCCAAATTAGGCTGCCACTGCACCATTCATTTACAAGTAGCAGTCCATAACCCATCAGCAGTCAATGACAGTTATAACTGTTATAATGTATCATATTTCCATTTGTCTATTGCCTGTCTCTGTCACAGCTTAAAATTCACAAAATGAACCCAAAAACTTAACTAAAGTTTCTGCTGCTCTGTGCAAAACCCATCACACTGGTGACAAGTGAGGGCAAAGCTAACTGACTGGCAGGCGAGGTGTGTCGTGCATCCAAATATGAGAACCAGTGGCGGAGTCGATAGTGCGCAGTGAGTGGATGCTTCCCAGAATTAGTTAATACAGCAGGATGTGTCGCCCAGCAGAAGATACTTAATGTTGACTTGTTGTTAGATGGAAGTCAGATCTTTCATAAAGAGACTGAGTTTCACCTTTTGCCCCATCATAAGAAATAGCGGTACAGATACAGCTACAAAACCTACAAAACATCAAATGCTAACACTCCACAGCATTTCCATACATAACTGCTGCTTTATTTCCATCCATTTCCTCCTTAGTGTTGGAAGGTTGGAGGCATTTATAATCAGTAGCTCTGGTGATGCAGCATTCATCACGTTCAGCATAGCCGTGGCCCCGCCAGGAAATGACCTGACAGGAATAAATGACAACGATCACCCAGCGAGGCACCCCCATTAGCTAGGTAAAGGGGAAGCATGGCTGCTGATGGTCGAGACTGGGAGGTGAGTGTAGAAGGCTAGAATTTTGCCTTTTCTCATATTTTCCATATTCAGATGACTTGGTAAGTAAGTGAGATTAAAGTACATTGAGATCAGATAAGGTAAAAATATGCTGAAGGCTGGTGTTAAACAGGTGAAGGATGCTTGCGATGAATGTAACTGATGGCAATAAAATACAGAGCAAAACTGAATGGGACTGCTCTTCTGAAGTCACTTTGATAAAGGTGGAAGAACTACACTAATCAAAAGTAAGTGCACTTGCTGAGTAGTGATAAACATGACATACAAAGCAAACAGCAAACAGTGGTTTAAGTGCACTGTTCTTGTCCAGGAACTAGTGGTCAGTTATTAAATCAATTGTCTGAGAACAAGAAAGTCAGGGATTGCTCTGAGTAATGGATGCCGCTCAGCTGACAATGATATTTTACAACTGCTGTGAGCAGAACCACAAGTCTTTCCCTTAAAAATAACATTTCCTGTCATGGCATTATTCCTTTCCTTTTCCACCATACTGTTATTTATCCCTGCCCTATTTTCTGTCATCCCCATTCTTTCATTATTACCATGAAAAACTACTGCCCTGATGTGGTTTGTTGATGTGAGGCGAAGGCTATAAAATTTCAACTCAGACACAGATACACATTGTTAAACACAGCAACACGTTTCTTTACAAAAATCACAGACATAAGCTTGTTACCTGGTATTGAATCGCTTTCTTTTACCACAGGCAGTTGGCAGATGATACCTAGTGGTAATGTTTTAGTTTTTTGTGACATTTTTAGCGACGCTAGCGATGGCAGTGTAGGTTTGTTGGCTGATTGGTATTCATGGTCATCACTGGATGAACTCTAGTGATTTTGGGGATCCCCTGACTTTATCTGTAGTGTCACTGTGAGGCTAAAATTTGTAGTTTTGAGTGACATTTCTTGGCTTTTATTGGATTGGATTTGCTACAAATATTCAAGGTCCCCAGAGAATCAATTCAAACAACATTAGTGAGCCTCTGACTGTTTATCTGGCAACGTCGTCGGATCAGAATTCTAATTTCGCAAACTCATTTTTATGACCAAATAGACCTACCTGCAAAGCTGATGACATTTGCATTAGCCTCTGTACTTTCTGTTTGGTGCTAATTAGCCAATGTTAGCATGCTAACACACTGATAATCCTTGTAAATATTACAGTACCTGCTAAACATTAGCATGTTAGCATGCCACAGAGAGCTTGTTAGTATACTGATGTTAGCATTTAGCTCAAAGCACTGACAGCCTCACATACTGTAGCTGCTTACATGGACACACACTCTTAGCAGTGTCATATAATGTGTTTAATATACCCACTGTGTGTCTTTGGTCTATTTACTTACCAGACCTTGAACACATCTGGCAGATTGTGTTGTTGTCAACATTGATATGTTGTTTGTTGTGACACATAACTGGCATTCATAAACACGAGAGCAATGTGAGCATAAGAAAACAGTATGTATGACTAAAGTGAGTTAGTTTTGTTTAGTAGGCTTTCCTTTCATAAATTCCTTGTACTGTACATGGGCCAGGTCTATATTGCCAAGTGCTGTAGAAGCGATATACATATTCATCTAAGATATCATCATACCATTAATAGTCCCATTAGAACGTACACCGTGTCCCAGAGACAAGTGTTACTGGTATTCACTGGTGAGTTCTAGTGAACTTTTTGTTCCATGTAGCATTCTGTGTGATATTTCAGTGTCCATGTAAGAAAGTATTACAAAACTACTACAGCTCTGCTACACGGGTATATTGTGTCAGCTTGTGTCTTACCTCCCAGTGTGCCCAGGCTGCATAAGCAACATGCCAGCAGTAACAGATCCAAGCTTTTCATGGCGACCTCCTGAACCAGAAAGGTCTCTCCTCCACAAAACAGAGTCTCAGTTGATTAATCGAGACTTCTCCTTCCTGTTCTTTTCCAGTGCAGCTCACTGGATCTATGAGTTTTGGTTTGGTCAGTTTGGACTGTTGTTGTCTGTCAGTCAGGCCTGCCTGGCCAACTGCTGTCTGCTCCAATTACATCCTTAGGGAGGGGAGGGTGTGTGTCACAGTTCACCCCCTCAGTCAGTGTGGACCAGGCTCAACCCTGCCTAGTATGAGCTTACTGTACTTACACACCACTGCTTCTCAAACTGTGGTTCTTGTAGGGTCTCCAGGCAGGTCCTTGAGAAGAAGAATGATGGTTAAAATGCATTAACATTTCATTGATGAATAATATAAGGATTTGATGAAAGACTGGTTTATTTAGAGGCTACAGGTGAAGTCTCACTACTGTTCCTACTTTGGTTCAGTCAGACCAAGCCTTGTTCTCATAACATCCTTTTCCAAATGGTGGGTGTCCCTTTGTCTTCAAATCTCCTCTTCTACTTCCCCATATTTCTCATTAAAGGAACCACTAGGGAAACAATGAAGCTACAATATTATATCAAGATTTTGCCTCAACTCTCATGCCTTAGACATGACAACTTCGGGTCTACACCAATCACTGGTCTACATTTGACCCTTGGTTCGTACCCTCAACCTCCTCAATTTCTTTATCCTCATCATTTCTCAGCCCAGTATCTTTAGGAATTATGTCCATATTGGATTCTGCACCTCTCAATTTACATCCAGTGCTAATGATCAGTGTAAAGGAAGTACTGAAGTGCATCTTCAACCCAATCTTTAGCATAAATCTTGGCAATGTACACTTCTGCAAACCATGGATATGCAACATTTGTACATCAATACATCATTACATTTCAATAATGCCAGGGTTAACATGTAATTATATTAAGGAACGAAACCGACTTGGTTAGGGCTAGGAAAAGATCATATTTTGGCTTACCCACTTTTGACACCACAACTACAGCTGGAAATGCCTATGATATTTTGCTAAGAAACACCTGGCTTTGGTGATTCAGTCGCAGCTGGAAAGCCAAGATGTCTTGCTTAAATACACCCTGTTTTGGTGCCTCAATTGCGGCTGGAAATGGCAATATATCTATCTAAAAACCACAGTGTTTTGATGCCTTAATTGCTGCTAGAAATGCTAAGATATCATGCTAAAGAGCATTTGGTTTTGGTGCCTCAATCGTGGCTGGAAGTGCCGAGATATCTTGCTAAAGAACATCCGGTTTTGTCACCCACTGCTATAAATGCTGAAATGTCTTGCCCTCAATCAGGGCTTGAAATGCCAGTATTTCTTGTGCGCTTTTGGTGCCAAAACCACTGACAGCAATGGCAAGATTTTTTGCTAAAAAAGGTGGGTTTGTCGCCACAACCACCGCTGTAAGTGCTGAAATGTTGAAATACGCGGTTTTGTTGTCACATCCACAGCAAGAAATGCAGAGATGACTTGCCAAAAAACATGCATTTTGGGGCCTCAATGCCGAGATACCGTGCTAAATGACACGGTTTGGGCACCTTAATCGTGGCTGGAAATGCTGAGATACCATGCTAGAAGACACAACGTTGGTGCCTCAGTCGTGGCTTGAAATACCAAGATAGGTTGCTAAAAGACCTGGTTTTGGTGCCTACGTCGTGACTGGAAATGCTGAGTTGTCTTGCTATAAATAACACCAGGTTTTGCCACCACAACCAATGCTAAAAATGCCAAGATGTCTCGCTACAGACACCTACTTTCGGGGCCTCAATTACTGCTGAAAATGTCAAAATGTCTCACCAAGAACATCCAGTTTTGTTATTTGTTGGTCGTGTTCAGTGCTGCCTGGAAAGAAACTGATTGTTTAGTAGCCTTGCAGTTGCTGACAAACATACATAAATGTAAACAGAGAGAAAATATGGTTTGTCACAGTGTCAAGTCTCTGCTCTTGACTGCTGCACTTGTGATATAAAATTTGCTTTAAAAGAAAATGCGTGGCCGTCTTGTACAGTCACTCACTGTAATAAGCGAACATATAGGGGTGATACGGCAGCCATTACTCTCACAGTATAATGCCAAGTTGATCAAACCGTTTAACTGCCACACTGCTGTATTTCCTGGAGGACCCCTGCAGTAAAACATCTATATCCTCCCTGTATTCCTTTACTCTCCTCTTCATGCCACTCTGCTCTCACTCACATTCATCGGCCATCCACGCCACCATAATTTACGATCCACTGTCGCTGCCATTTGGCCTGCCGCCAATTTAATTACCATAGAAGCTAACTATTACCAGCTAGCAGCTAGTGTCAAGTCACACATCAAATCTGTGGTCTAGGGGGAGTGTATATAAAGCCCCTGTTGGCAGCGACTCAAATTCAGGGATCTCTCTGAGGGCAACCATAATAGATCACTGTTTAATTCAGAGGTAAGTAGTTATGTTAAAATAGATTGATTGTTATTTACATGGGGAACAACTAACAAATGACATGAAACAGGATTATAGTAATCAGATTACATTTTAAAAAGTGATGATCTCACTGTGAACACAGTTTAATCTGATATTAGTTTGATGCTGGAGATGGTCATTATATTTTGCTCCAACATGGTGTCAAAGCTCCCACTTTCATTCTCTTTAATTGTATTGAAAATCCATCAGTGTAATCACTTTCTTTGATTTGTTTATTTACCTAATTACCCCACAGAGATAAACTTTGTCTTATCTGCGATTCCAATTAAAAGTCTGTCAACTGAATGTTCTGTTCAGACTTAAGTTGAAAGTAATCAAAGTATGCTATACTGTATGAGCAAAAGGTTTGAACAAAGCACATACACACCCTGATTACACATCTTATTCCAAAACCATGGGTATTAATGCGCTGCTATAAAAGCCTCCATTCTCCTTTGGAGCATGGCTGCAGGGATCAGTTGCAAGAGCATTTGTGATGTGGGCCACTGATGTTGGGCGACAAGGTAATCCAAGTCATCTCAAAGCTGTTTAATGGGGTTGAGGTCTGGGCTCTGTGCACACACAGTGTAGGCCAGTCAAGTTCGTCCACACCAAACCTGGAAAAAAATGTTTCTTTATGGAGCTGGCTTTGTGCACGTAGGCATGGTCAGGTTGAAACAGGAAACAGATCTTTATTTGGGTTGGTGCGTTTGGTTGAGTTTGTTTGGGCTGGTGTGAAAGCTGCCAATCAAACTCTGGAGTGAAAGCAAAATAGACCAACAACAGGATTTTATAATAGTGGACAAAAGATTTTAGGATAAATTCAAAGGCGAAACAATAAATAAACTCTTACGCTGTCCTTAAACTACTAAGAAAGTAATCTCCCAATCCATATAGGTGACCACAGTAACCAAAGACATGGTAACATAGCGGAGTTTTCCACAATGTTCCTGAAATTGAAAAGTGAATAATAGAAACCAATTGCTCGGTCATTATTCATGACATTTAAGATCCTGATGGACTCTTGACTAACAACAATCATTTTTGAGATCTCTTTGTTATACTTTGTTAAATGAAAAAAAACAAAGTGCTGCAAAAATTCAGTCACTGGAATAAGAGTTTCTCTTGCGCATCTACACAGAATGACAGTCATCAGAACTGAGTATCTGGCAGTGCATGTGACTTCATGTTTAGCAACTAAAAGCATCTAAAACTAAAGCCAACAATGTGGTATCTTTTTCTTTGCTCCAGATGAGAGGTTTTCAAACTGTAAGGTGCACCTACACTGGGAAAGTTTAAGGAGAGGCGCAGAGAATAAGACGTGAGGTAGATACTGCGTTAAGTGAGAGGGACAGGTGTGTGCCTGTGCTCTGAAAAACAGGAAGTTAATTGTTGTTTGGCCACAGCTCATGGAAGCATTTACTGTATATGAGCGCTACATGAGATTCAAAGCACATCTATGATTCAGAGTTTGGGCTGGGATTGTCTGCATACGGCTCTCAACATGGAGGTGACGGAGCTGGCGCTAGCAGCTAACGGTGCTAACAGCATGAACATTGCTAACATGGCAACAGTGCAAACAGAGGAATCAGAGGGTGGGCATTATGCTGCTGTGACGACGTAGTCATGCCACCAGAGGCAGCATATGAGCACAGTCTAGAGCAGCCAGCCTGCATGGCTGGACAGTCTACCAAAACAAAAAACAGAGAAGCTCTGATTACAACAAACACAGAACGAACCTGGCTTCATTCTCTGCTCAGGATGCGGTTACTACACTATATGTTCACATAGCAAATAGCTGTTTGCTGCTAAATTAATGTTCTGAATGCCATATAGTGCTTCTGTAAGGTACTTTAAAACTCATAGTGCCTGGTTGTCATAATTGCAATTCTTCTTGGAGATAGAACTCGGATCTGAAAACAAAGACATAATGCACATATTATTGAATTCTGAGACTCCTGCTTTTCGAGAATATCATTATATCCAATAAAAATCACAAATAAAGGTAAAAAAATCAGCTTGGAAATTTTAGAACAAAGATGTGCCTTGTAATTCCAGAACTTGCCAGAAAATCCTTACGTCACATTTGTGTTGATTTTGTTTGATGGGGACCCCACAGAGTCCAACTTTAAATACACCTGACAAACTGAATATACTATACTATATACCATATGGTATATGAAATGTACATTGTATGTCACAGGAATGAAATCAAAACACCAGCAGACCAGCGTTACAATCATACAAATATATTAGTTTGTTTTATTCAATTATATCCAATAATACGTCTCCCTTGACTTTGTGTAAGTTATTATAGAAATAAATACAGATCATATTGCAAATGCAGAGACAAGGGTTTGGGATAATAGAGTGTTGAGGATGGGGGGTTAAGGGGTTAAAGGGGTTAAAGAGTAAATATTGGGTAAAGACTGTTTCTTTGAAGGTGTCCAGTAAATGATTGGCGCATGCATGCTTGTAGTCCCGCCTGTCTGTGATCCTCAACCCAGAAGTTTCAAACTGCAAGTCCCACGCCTCTCCGTCGTCCCTCTCCCGCTCTTTTCTCCAGGTGATCCATGGGTTTGGATGGCGTATAGTAGTTGTTGTTGTTATTCCACCTTGCCAGCAACAGGGGGAGTTACTGCACCCCAGCCACATTTGCATGGATATATTTATATATAGAGATATATAGATATATTTTTTTGCCCCGTTTGTATACAAAAATAGTGTCATTGTGGCTTTGATAGCTGGAAGACTGAAGCACTCTTTTTGCATTTGGAAGACAAGAAGGAAAGTAAGATTATGGTGGGTTTTCCTTAAAATCTTTTCTGGAAGACTTTGTCACAATAACTCGGATCGTCCATGCAGTACAAAGAAAAAAAAAAGACTCGAAAAAATCCCTCAAGGATCGATCACGGAATCGCACACACAGGTAGAAGACGTGTTTGTGTGTATGCGTGTGTTTGAGGGAGAGACAGGCGGTGAATGAGCAGTCCACGCGCTGCCAGTGAGCCAATTACAAATCCCGATAAGAGATCAAAGGTCAGAGGTCAGTCAGTCGGTCTTTGATTGACAGGTGAGTGCTGGAGGACTGTGGGGGGGGGGGGGGGGGGGGGGGGGGGGGGGGGGGGGGGGGGGGGGGGGATCGGGAGGTTTAAGACCCTACAGCCATGGCATACTTCAGTGTTACTCTCTTTGTAGATTGAGCTCAACATCCCTTAGTATGACAGAACAGACATGGATATGCATTTAAACAGCAAAATAAACACATCAAATCAACACATGGACATACCAACAAGGATTCATACCAATACTCAGAGTTTCTTTTCATCACAAGTCACAGGACTTCCACTGAGAAACACCCAAAACACAATCCAAACACTTGAAAAAAACATTTCAGCATCGTTTACAATGTAAAGTCACCACTTAAACATAGTTGGTGCATTAGCTTGTAAGAGGTGAAGTCCCTCCATGATGTGTTTGTAAAGGTCACCCCCAGTTAGCCACATCTGTGCCGGCTTGGTGCAGGGTGCAATGTGTGTGTGCAATGCAGATGTGTCCAGGGACTGTGGGTGTGCTTTTAAAAACACAGACCGATTTTCTTTTTATATATGAACTTAACGCGATGGTAACCACTACACAGGATGTGACATGAAGTGTTCAGCCTCTGGATTCCAGTATAAAAGCACTTTTTATGAAGCAGCTGGGGGGAAAAAAACAGAGAGAGTGAGAAAATCTGTCCGAGGACGGCGTCACTCTTTTGTCACGTGAGCCTCTCTCTTCCTCCCTCTCTTTTTTTTGTGTTTTCTGCTGCATTGCAGATGTGGTGAAGGGACTCCACCTCAAAGTAACGCACGCACACTTTAACAGCAACCCAGCTCACAAAAAGGGCAAAGTGTTAGAAAAATAAAAGCTCTAATAAAACACGCAGTTGGTTTCTATATCAATATTAATCCCTTTTTTTCACACCCTCCCAGATAATGTGCCTGCACCTTGTTAATGGAGTTTATTGCTTTCTGCCCAAGGACTCGTACTCATTGATTTGGCCTCTGATTTATCCTCTATTTTCCTCCCTCCCTTTCTCTCTGCCTGTACTTTATTCCCTCACATATATTGGACACACAGAGATATTCAATCACGGTTACAAAACGATTACACACAAACACCAAAGCTGATGAGTGAGATCTAGAAAACACACACCAGCATTCACACGCACATGCACACACATACCGCCGCCAGGTTAAAGGGAAGTTGTGTTTGCAAAAAAAGAAGGGATCGGAGAGGTAGTGAAACTTCAAAGGGAGGCTGCGAGGGCACGAGTTAGCTACACTACAATACGTGACACATGCCTCTCTCTCTTCTCTCTCTGAGTCCTTCACAACCCCGGATGACCCTCGCTGCAGTTGTAATTCGCTCAGTAAGCAGGGAGGGCCCTGACTTGGGAGAAATGGGAGGGAGGGGAGTCCCCCGGGGAGAGAGGTGTGTGTGTTTGTGTGATGTGCGAAGCGTGCAGCTGAATCAGATATACATCATTTAACCCCCCTCTGATATCCATGCGCACACATGCACACCTCTCCCATCTTTTTTTTCATATATGCTCCAAAGAAATAGCAAAGCCGAGGGCCAATATTAAACAGTTAAGAGCTGAATCCAAAGACATTTATCAGTGAGTTAAAAGCAGTAAATTAAGCCACTGGGGGAAGGTAAGGGGTTTCACTAATCAAACATGTGCTCACATAGACGGCCACCGAGATAAATGGCAATCTTTACATCCTGTAATTCACACGGAACTGTTTGAAGTGAAGCCCGAAGGCCGGAGGAGCAGACAGGCTGGAACAGAGAAGCTGATTTGGGGCTTCACAACAAAGGATTCACAGCAGAGACAAATGGGTGAGTGTGAATGCTGCAAAACACACGTCAGTGATAAACACACACACACACACACACACACACACACACACACGCACACGCATGCACACTTTCAACAGCAATAAACAAGTTTGTTATCTACCTTTCTGCAAAGTGAAATCACATTTTCACACTTCCTCTTTTAAAATCTTTGCCCCCACCTGCTTCCCCAAATATATTAATAACGCTCCACTAACAGGTAACATCTAACAGCATGAATCTGATTACAAAAGACAGCATCTGCAAAATAATACATTTACAATATTACAGATGTGAATGAAAAAATAGAAGACTATTTGTCAGACTGCTCAAAAAAGTATGAGCGCTAACGTAAAATAGTCAATCTTGCTGAACAGCTTGAGGATGAGTATTCAAATAAAACTGGAATAAAAAGATAATCTATCTGCATATTCTGCGGCGGCAAAATGATACTCGTGATTGATGCAACTGTAAGTGGCCGATGGATCATCTGTAATGGATTCACACACACTGTGAATATCTCAGCAAACTGAGATAGGAATCTGTCACTCACTAGATGTTAGTGTTGACTGGCGCTCAGTCATGAGATCCGATGGCTTGGTTTAATAAAATCTTGGCTCTCGTTGCTTTAAAAGTCACTTTAATGCAGAGTCTGAGGCAGGAAATGAGATGATTGTAGCCCTACGAATATCTCAAACTAATAAAGTCTGAATCCTCTCGTCTAGAAATGCCATTATGCGCCATTATTCTTTTTTTTTTTTTTTTTGCATTTGTAGAGGCATATATGCATCAACAGAAAATAATACTGCATTTATTTTGAGGGTTAAAGGGGCTCTTCAAGCAATATAGTGCTGCACTTCCATAAAGTTGCGGGACTCACCAGATGCAGGTTTAAAAAACAATGGTCACTGACTTCTAGTTGTATATAGGCCTGTCATGATAATTACATTATCAGCTTATTGCACCATATATGTACATGACCATCATTTTGCCTGCCTCAATATTGCCTGTGTATTTACATAAAAATGTCATCCACGTTAGTCAACATGATGCTAGAAAAAAACAGCAGGGTTTTCCTGACCAGTCTGAAGAAAAATAAAACAACACTTTAAAGATGCCACAGTGTAGCTTACCCGTAGCCTGCAGCTCCGATTTTCAAGTGGAGGAGGCGCAGTCCTGATAGTTGTTAGCTAGCCAAACCCTGGCAACAAGCCAAAAAGTCAGTTGTTTGTTGTTTTACCCTCGAACAACTTCATCCTCTACTCTGTAAACCCACCAGCAAACTGCCTGACACCTAGACTGTCAATCTCCAGTAGCTGACTGCAGCACACAGGCCGAATTATGGAGGTAACCGCAGTGTGAGCTTCACTGAGCTTGTCTATTGGTCACAAGACGCATCACTTGGTTTTGGTTTTGCTAGCCGAATTCATATTAACTCTCAAACTGCATTATTTTGAACTACTCCTTGAACAGTACTATAATTTTAAATGTACTTTCTTGTAAATATTAACAAGTGTTACTGTAAAACTTCAATTAAAAGCCTAGTCCCAATTTAACACCCAGTCTCTTTTACTAGCCCGGTGTGGCTACACATTTTTACAAATAAACGTCCTTCTCAATTAGAGGCCTGGTCTGCTTGCGAAGCAGTTCATTTCTTTTTTTAATGTAAGTTCTTCGGGTTGTTGGCTACCTTAAACTATGTGTCAATTCTTTGATTTCCCTGTAAGTTATTCACATTCCTTTAGTCTGTAAGGGTCCTCGGATCAAAAAGACGCCTGTCCCATATAAAGACCTGTTGATTACAGTGATTTAAGCAAATAATAGCCCAGGCTACTTATAGAAGTTTTACGGTACTTACTGTTTTGTAAATAAATATACATATTTTTTCATATTCCAATTCCAATGTCTAAATATTCTTAGGAATTTAAAGTCCATACCCCTTTGACAAAGTGAACTTGCATTATTATGCTATTAAATTATTGTATCACGCTAATGAAATGGTCTCAAATTTACATTATTTTATGGAGAATATATATCGTCGAACAAAAGTAATTATCATGACAGGCCTAGTCATGTATAGGTCAAGTTCTAAAAAATGTTACATCCTACATTTCCCATAATGCAGCTCATCTTTCATTAGACCCTCCTTGCCCTATATCTCCAGTGTGTAATGCAGGCTTATGAGCATGACTGACCCATGTCTATGTCTCTAATCTGAACTTAATCTACAGCAGACATTACTGTTCTTCATTTTTTCCATGGTAATTGCTTGAACTAAAGTTTTTAGCCCTTAACTCTGACAGCTGTTTTTCATTTAATTCAATATCTGAAAACAAACATGACACATAGGTAAGAAAATATTGCAACATAGATTTCCCAGCCCTTAAAACATACAGTAGTAGTTATCACAGAAGTCATGGCTATATCTATTTGCTGAATTCCTCCTCTCCTATCTAAAAGTATCTCTCTATCTAGCCCCACACAGTCTTAATTCTATTCTAGTGGGCAGGAGCCTCATTTAATTAAACAGTCGTGTAATTACTTAGCGAATAATACTCAAACATTGTGTTCTGGATTTAGTGATCCATAGGGGGTGACTGGTCGGACACGCCGACCTGAGGGTCTATTTAACAGTTTAATTAAGGTCTTGAGTGTGTAAGTGAGGTTTTAACAGTAGCTTGTGTTCAGTAAATCAGAAAAAATATAAGTATAGCTTCAGTTTCCTTTTCTTTGTTCCTTCTTATAGTTTATTTGTTAAATCTCTTTTTCTCCGTCTCCTTTCCTTTCCCTCGTCTCAAACCACCTATTTTCGTTCTCCTGTAAACTAATCTGTTCTCTTTCTCTCCCCGGGAAAACAGAGGTAAAGTTTGCCTCATCTCTCAGGTAGCAGATTAATTTGCTCAGCAGCTCGCCTCTATTCTGCACGGGTTATCAGCTATTATTATTTACAACCACAGGTTACAGGGGAGTGGAGGATTATGCATGAAATGAGAAGTGTGTGTAAATGTGTGTGTGTGCGTGTGCTCAGGGAATGCCGTCCACATTACCATAATTCCCTCTTAAAACTCCTTTTCTTCCACTCATCACCCCAAATTGTTTGCCCTAAAAATCTCTCTCCTTCTCCATTTTCTTTTCTTTGGTCGATCCCTCTCTCCGAGCCCTGATCATCAATCTAACCTCGCCTCTACCTCCCGAAAACATAGGACTCCCTCGCTTCCCACAATACATAAACATTAGGCAGAAACAATTACCCTGCCTGGCATATTGTACCAAGGAAGTTTGATATGAAAAATGATTGCTTTTCGTGTTGAATGGAAAGAACAAATGGAAACACACAAGACAAGGTCTCCCGAACAAGCATAGTGAAATATTTCAAATAGTAAGATTCTTTACCAAGAGAGTCTACTGAATAAACACTGAAAGAAATGTGATCAAAGTAAATGTAACACATCTATCGTTCCATCTTCTTTTTTAGAATCACTATCCATCACTATCTAACCAAATTATCAACTGCATTATTTATATGACTTTGGTGTTTGATTTTTCCGCCTAACAAAACAGTCATAATATTATAGTGAAATGACAAGAAAAAGAAGGCTTGAATTCCTTTGCATCATAACCAAAGTCTCCAGGAGAGATTTACGGTAATTCATTTGAACACATTAGGAAACAGATTAAGGAAAATTTGAATGAACAAGTGTTTCAGGTGAAGCATGGTGTTGTTACATGCCATGAACAGAGCTTTATTGACTGGCCCATGAGTAAATGAAGACTTAAAGGGCCACGCCAGTGATTTGGTATTGCGCTTCCATGAGGTTGGGGGACTTGAAAGAGACAGTTAAAAAAAAGAATGGTCAAAACTGAAGCAGCAGAGGCTGAGATATCTTGACTTTTAGTCTTTACTACAGATCAAGCTCCAAAAACATCACTGGATCCTACACTCCCCATAATGCATTGTGGTGGCATCTTTCATAAGATCTTTCTTGTCTGGTAAACACCTCATTTTTTATTGTTCTGGCTCCCAAACCATTTTGTTGCATAAAGTTTTGGGTTCAGGTTTGGTTATTTTCAAATGGTATTTGAAATGGGAACTTCGATGATCTCACATATTTTGTGTTAAATCATTAGAAGTGTCTGTTTTAAAACAAACAAACAAAACAAACAAACAAAAACCTTTTTACAGGTGTTTGGGAGTACTACAGCATATGTTAAAAAAAAGTACACCCTTTAGTGGCACTTGGGGGAACTGTGTTAAATATGAAAAATTGCCTCAAGTGATGTCACATGAGTCAGAGTCAACAGTTGAGGCTGAAAACTACAAGTCTGAAAATGAAACAAGATCTGTGGAAGTAGAGTCAGAAAGAAGCAAGGTTACCAGACTTCTGTAGCCTCCTTATTCCTGCTTGATACCAGCAACTCAATGCTATGTTAGCTGCTAGCATAATACACCAAAATCTCACACAAAAGATGGCTCGGCATGTATTTTTCACATCGCAGGGATTTTTCACAGACATTATTACAGGAAACTACAAGGCGGAAGTGCACTCGACTATGGAAGCCCGAATGGCTGCAGACATTCTTCGCAGAGTCCACTCCACTTATAACTGCTTACTGTTGGCTATGTTGTCATTTTCAACAAATTTGTCAATATAAATCTTGTTCTCTGTTTAAAAAGGGCAAACATAGGAAGACAGCAAGCACACTTCTTTAAAGCGGTTACGTCTTAAGTACTATCTTGAGCCTACAGCTAATATCCTGTGTGGTTTGTTTCCATGATGTTACAGAAGTGCATATTTAATGGATTCAGTGCGGACAGAGAGATGCTTGATTGCTATTAGGAAACAGTGTTCAGCCTACTTATTGTCACAAGGGAAACGCTTTTACCGGACATTATGACCGAAGAGATTTCAAAATGTTGGACTTAAATGGATTTTTCTGGTCAAAACCTGAATAATGGAAAGCTTGAGCACAGCAACACCAATGAGAAAGCGGCTTGCTGTGTGAGAGAGACATAGAGAGGGGAAGAGTAGGTGGAAGGTGAACTGTTGCACAACAGTTCTGTAAGTTATTAATAACTTACTCAGAATGCTGCTTCGTAACTGAATGACCCACCCCACCGAAACCCTCTATATTTTTTTAAAAACTTAACCGCCGAACCGCCCGACCTGTGGTTTGTGGGTTGACATGTGCATCACTAGTCTGTAATGAATTAAACTGAGCAACAATATAGCTTTGGGTGACCAACTGGTGGCTTTAAGTTAGCTTGTGTCTTAAAGGTGCCAGTACAGCTAAGGTTTGGCTCTCACTTTTAGGCCTTTGTGGTACCGTCTCCAATCCAAACCAAAGATTGCTCAAATGATGTCACTGGAGTCATTTTCTCAGACATAGCTGTAGACAAAGCTCCCCCACAGCCACAGAAGACACTATGCAACTATTTTTACAGGCTCGGCACTACTCCCAATGACTTTGGGTGACTAAAATGGGTGAAGTGCCACCTGAAAAAACAGCTGTACGTACAGTACACAGAATATTTCTGGCATGGGGTGCACAAAAGTATTTTCTTCATTCGACATAAATTGGTGTACAAATTTGGATGCAATTATTAAATAAAAACACTTTTTTTTTTTTTTTACTGTGTTTTGAGACAAGAATGCCACATAGTGTGATACAGGGTCCATAGATAGTGTGGGCCTTGGGGGTTTGTGCAATGCATGGCCAGCCACAGTGAAAAAAGCTATTGCAGTGCAATCACAAGATACACAGTCAGGCTCCATCAGTACCCCATCTCACTGATGATATCCTCATCATCTCCCAGAACCCGCACACACACTCACCACCACCACATCAGTATGTGTGTGTGCATTTGTGAGTGTGTGTTAATGCATGTCATTGTGTTAAGTGTGTTAAGTCGTGAGATCATTTTCCGCGGTCGTCGCTCATGGATATCAGGGTGCTAAAGTGTGTGCACACACCTCTGCTCGTGTGTAAATGTCAGTGTAATAATGAGTGTGTGCGTGGTTATGCGGTGTGTCGAGAGAGCTCTTGGCCCCTCGTTTAAGGGTCGAAAGATTCTGATCAGCCCCAGATTCCATTAACAGAGCCGGAGAGGACGGGAGGGGTTTTCTTGTGCCGCGGAGTGGAAAATTGAGTCCATGTCACAAACTAATCAAATCGCACCAAAGGTGAATGGAAGAAGGGAACACACACACACTCTCTCACACACACATACACACAAACAGGGCTGACAAGTATCCAGGCCATCTCACAAAGTCGCTGACACACGCAGAAGATGTGGACCGAGCAGATGGCTGCAGAACAAAAGTCTGCAAGGGTCTCTGTGACAGCCTCACATTAGCATGGCTCTGTGTCAGGCTAACATTAGCATGGAACCCTGTGGGGAAATGAGAACACAACCCATTTGTAAAGTATGTGCTGCATAGGGACCCATTTGACCGTTGCACCCTTTGTGGTAAAACCAGGAAGACTTTGCTTGAATATTTGGTTGACTGGAAGGATGTCACTGTTGATGGCTAGAGAGTGTGTGTGGGAATTCCTTCCAGCAGGTTAAACACGCTGTGGTGACATGCTATACGATGCTAGGTGACTGTTCACCTCGTCATGGAGTTATTGCTTTTATATCCCAGGCTTTGATAATCACAGAGGTTATCTAATAAGAAGGTGGAGGGCTGGTGTGGATGGGGGTCTGTGAAGGGTAAAAGGGGCTTCCCACTGGCCAGCTCCACTCTGCCCGGACCTTTTTCTTCAACTTAACACCAGTGCATTGTGGTACGCAAAGTTCTGGTGGGGTCAGTGTTGCAGGCGGGGGGGTAGCCCTAACTACCCTGTTCAGGTGTTCCGCTGGTGCCCAGTGCCCCGTGTCCTCCACCCCTCCTCTCCCACCTGTGTCTCTGAGCGCTAGGAGGTGGAGGTTTTGGTTTTGGATTGAGGGTCCTTCTTGCCATTCTGGAGCACGGGTGAGTCACTGGAGGTCTTAGGCGTTTTCCTGGGCGGACTCTGCTCAGCAACATCGTGTAGAGAGGGCTCCCGGTACATGGCCACTGGGGAGGGAGAAGGTTGCAAATAGTTAGGACTGGGTAGAGACAAAGATAGTATAGATGCAGGACTTCACCCGAAGGGTTCGGTCAGCCATTGTTTCTCTTTTGAAACTACCAAGTTGTACATATAATACAGTACAGTAGTTTTAAAGAGAAACTTTGCAGGTTTTCAACCAGCTCTGTCATCACACTTTATGCAGTTTGTGCAAAAGATGTTTTGCTTGCCCCCTTTCCACTAGTAACTGGAACACCCCCCCCCCCCCCCCCCCCCCCATTTGGCAGTAAACTTTCGCACACACTGCGATTACACAGAACTGGTAGAAAATCTGAAAGTTTCCCAAAAACAATGTGAACATGACCTTATTTATTTAAAATGTAAGACACATTCAACATAGATAGGGAAACTGGGGACAAAATAATGCAGGAAAGAAAACAGAGAGAATATTGACAATGGATTACTCCCAAACCTTTATTTTAAAGCTGCATAATGTAAGAGGGGTCAATCATCGTGACGAAAGCATGACTCATCACCAAGTCTACTTTTCACCTCAGCTCAACTAAGAAGTTACTGCATGTTTACTTTGTTTGTCAGTGTGGCGTTATGTTTACAGCCTTTTCACTGTCATCCAGCGGCCAAACAAAAGACTCAATGCAGCTTTAACTTCACACCATTACCTGGCTGGTTAAAATAAAGGTTTGAGAGAGATATTATCCCTCAGCTTTTTCCACTACATCTACTTTCCTACAATTCCTTTAAGTATAGAATTAGATGTGCACACTTAAGGCACAGAAGGGATGCATTTAAAGTAAATAACTAACCTAACCTAATGTAACATCATTAACTGTACAATGTTTCTACTGGTAAATAAGTTGCATTCTGTAGGTGACCATATTATTTATTTAACTGTAAATTAGGGTTGTCAGCATTAGCACGTTATTTGCAATGCGATTAAGGTCGGATCATAACATGTTTTTTTTTTTTTAATCATTGCTATTTTGTCTCTTTGGTGCACCCTTACTTGTAGTTCAGCCGCCACAGTGGCTTCCTGCTGCCACAGAGATGAAAAATAACGACACCACTGTGCTTTGGAATGGCTGAGCCCAGATGGCTCAGGTGACAAGTCAAAAGTAAAATGCATCTTGTGTCAGTTAGAATTAATATATCAGCAAAGTACTTTGACTTTGAGCTACCACCTACGAGCTGAGCATACAGGCGCAGCTAATCAGACTGATGTCAGTGGGCTACCACATTGCCAAAGCTGGCAAAGGACTATTCTGGAGCGTATGAATCACCACAGATCTGAAACTAAATCAAAGAAATTAAAAAGGACATTAAGAGACGTCCTCAGGTTGGCATGGTGAAAGCAGTCATACGCCTTTCCATTGCAGGGAACAACAGTTTCATGTATACAGGACCTGAATACATCTGAGAAAGCCACTAAACTTGAACTTCTGAATAGTGCAAATGCTGTCCCAATAACAAGGGATAAGTGGCATTAAAGAGTAACCAAAATTATCTCGGAGTGACTGCACACCATATTGACACTGACCAAGATCATAAAGTAAATTTCTTGCATTCATTTGGTTCCCAATCAAGACACTCTGGTAAAAGTTGTTTTACCTTGTTAATATGTTTTTTTAAAACAGTTTTTAAATGTAAAATGATGGAATATTACACATGCAATTAACACTGATTAATCACAATTATAAAAAATGAATTACTTGACTGCCCTTCTGTAAACATCTAACAGTTAAGATCAATATATGTTAAATAACGAAACATTGTACAGCATGTCATATTTATTAGGAAACAAAAGAAATTTAAATTTTTGAATCCCTCTCTTGTCTGTTTCGTTGTTAAGTACTGTTAGTTGCACAACGGCTTCAGGTGGCTTCAAAATTTACTCAAACTAAAATTCCCAATTACTGTTTTTAAGGTCAAGACTGACCTTTGATACTTGAACAGATGACCAGGTAAAGAAAAGAGTGGTCCCTCAAACTTAAACTTCTCCCCCAGGAAATTTAAGGTCAAAGATAATTTTGCACTGGACACTAGGGTGTTACGGTACACAGAAGTCTTGGTTTGTATCATATCGCCGTATAGAAGTCACAGTTTGGTACAAGTTTGGTACTGGGACTGAGGTAACATTTTGCCTACAGGGAACTTTGATAAACTTTTTTTTTATTACACAAATAAGTAACTTTTCAAAACCTATGTATAACACATGAACACTGAACAAACGTTTTACCAAAAGGCAACAGGTCACAACAGGCTCCAAAACTTAAACGCATCTCTTATGCTATGAAACTGAAAATACAAAATACGGGTTGTTCTGTCCTGGTCCCGGTCATCAGCCCATCTGGGGGATGTCGTCGAAGGTGAGTTAGCATGTTGGATGTGTTTTCATTCAAATACCCTGCAACTTTAGAGCAATGCCAACACATCGTCTCGTCTTGTACACAACACTCTCTGTTGCTTTTGTAGCTGACAAGGAACCTGCATGTGGGTCTTCCAGCTATGCTGTTTTATTTTGTGCTCACCATAGTGTGACCGACTCGCACGTCAATCATCTTGTTGTGCTAACTTTAGCGCATGCTGCTCACGGTGTACAGCTAAACTTCATTAGCTTGGGAACTTTGGTTCTGCACTCGTACTTCCCATGTACTGTGTGTGGCTGCACGCACCATACCGTGACCATTTGTCTCAAATACACAAACCATCACAGCCTCACTGAATACACAGTACAGGGACTGGCAACAAGCACTGACCACCAAAGACAGTGACAAAATAAAAGCAGTGAGCATCTTGCAGGATAACCCTCACTGGTCACTGCCTCTGGAACACCTTGTGCAGTATATATTAATCTGTTGTACCTTCAATGAGTTTGGGCAGGAAGTGCGCAGCTCCCTTTGTCTTCTTGACACGGTTCCCTTTCATGACCTGTCCATCTCGGTTGATGCCGATATACCACGCCCGTCCTGACTGGGTCTGTCTGTACAGGATGGACGAGTAGGTGACGTAGTAGTTCTCAAACACACACTCCTTAAACTTACACTCGGGCGTGAAGTGTTCCTGAAAGACACACACGGGGAAACACACACATTGGGTCAGAAGAGAAGAATAACATATTTGGCGTGGCTGCCATTTTTTATCTGTTCTATTATTTATATATTTACTCTCCAATTCCGCTGGACTCAGCTGGGAATGGGAGGAAATGGGCCCCACATTTCATTGTGACAGGGTTACAGGAGCATCTATGGGTGCATCAACAACACACACACACACACACACATGCACACACACACACACACACAAACTCATCCCAACATGTGCACACGCCTGTTTGCCACATGAACAAAGTGGTTTGTGAGCTGGGATGCCATAACTCAGCAGAGTCGGTTTACCTGTAACAAACAACAATCACCCGGATCCTTCACCCCCTCTGTGGTTTAACTGTCGGCCTTCAGCCCTCTCACACTGACAAGCACACACACACATAGCTCTGCATTAGACAATATGTCAACAGCGGGACATCCCCCCCCACCTTCCTCCCTCCATCTCCCCCTCGTTACAGCTCTCACATATTCCCTTTCTATCTCATATTCCGCCTCTCCTTCTCCACTTCATTCCCCCCATCCCTCCGTCATCTGGTAACCTTGTTGAGGAACAAACCAATTTGCAGGATTGATTTGGAGCCTTGATGTGACGGGTGAGCAGAAAAGGCCTGAATAAGGAGTTTACTCCCTCTCTCTCTCTTGCGCTCATTCATTTCTCACTCACCCTCCTCACCCTCTCCTCCTCCTCCTGCTCTCCGTCTTCTATCTCTCTTTTCTCTCTGCTTGTCTGCTGCCACCGCAGGCACGGGGCCTTAACGTCTGCCTATATCCATTGTACCGCACATAAACAAGCTAATTACATTGACTGTATCGCCCATTCTTTAATTACACATCCATTCACTTAGGCAGCCATTCATTTCCTCACCCACCCATTAGCTTAGCTCTAATAGCACCGAGCGAAATCCAAAAGGTCTGGAGTCTCTTGGAAGGTGTAATCAGATTGCTATCATTAACCGTGTTTGCACTGCAGTATGTTGCGTCTCATCTTCTATGCAGTCTGTGTGTGTGTGGGTTCGGGGGGGAACTTTACAGGATTAAAGCCTGCTTTGTAAAGCCTGATCATCACACACCCAGGCAGACGTGCTCAAGTTCATTAATTGATTAATTACTTGAACTAAACTGGCCATATGAGGAATGTGTAGGGTGTGTAAATGAGTGTGTGTGTGGAGGCTGTATCATTACCAATCCACGACCAGCCTTGTGCAAAGGAGGTCTTTTCGATTAGCCTTTATCTTCCTGGGAGACCTACAGGGGGAAGATAGAGGCTGGATTTCTACCACCAGGCAAAGTCTGACTTTCTGATTAAAGACTAAACTTTGGGAGGCTGTTTACACGGCTCCCTACTAGAGTAGTCCATGCATGGCAAAGGGCACGGTTTTGTGTGTTTTCACAAAAGGTCACAATGCAAGGATCAGTGGTGCAGCTGTGGAACTCAAATACTTACTTAAGCAGTAACTTGGACTCTATTCTCTCATGTTTTTGTGTGACTAATGAGAACAACAAGTTTCTAATTGGTCCTGTACTGAGCAAGAGGGCTGCAGCCAGCAGCAAAACTGACTCGAGCCATGTTCATCCCATCACTTTACAACCACTAATAATGCTTCGTTTTGGCCACTGACAGGCTCAGATTGTTATTATTATTAAGGCTCATTGATGCTCCTTTTATGTATAAAAATAGATCATTCCAAATGCTGTGACTGTCACTGCCCATTTATGTCCATGGGTCCTTTACATTGGCACAGATATATCCAGTAAAAGGCACTAGAGGGTGGAGTCAAAAGTTTCTGACAACAACAAACAAGGCGACAGTGGAGGAGGGGGTGGCATTGATGGTGATGGTCTATGAGGCCATTAAATACATCACAATATGTGGATGGAGAAGCCTTTTCACGATATTGCTGATTACTTCAGCGTGTCTGAGGGATCACAGCTCGCCTGAAACATGTTAAGCTGCCCCAAGATCTTCAGTGGTACTACTGTTTTGCTTTTAGCTTTTAGGAGACTGACCCAAATACGGACAAAATGAACACAGAGTACGGACAAAAGGCTTCGTCTGTGTCTGTTTTAGCATCATCACCGAGCATAAATGAGCCATTTGTTTCTGATGACATTATGAAAAGGATCACTACAGAGATACCATTTTGCTAATGAGTAAGATCCTTTCTGTTGAACCAGAAACAACCCTGAAATCACTATTGCCAAACCCACCAGATGTCATTTAAATAAACAGTAATTTAAACACGTCTAGACCCAGCATAGTTCCACATGTAACTGGCAGTAGTAAGGGTTTATTTCCACCAAACCAGAAGATGATGAAGGTTGGAGATTAGTGGAACAGTGAAAAGACAAACTTTTTGAGAGTTTTTTGTTGTTGTTGTTGTTGTTGCTTGTTTCTATTGACTTTGGTTTCAAAACATCTTGCCAAAGGACTGCAGCTGAAAATCAGCCAGCTGGCTAACACTAGCACATTTACAGAAATGTTGATTAATGTGTGTGTCCTTATGAATAAATAAATCTAAATCTAAACAAGTGAGTAAGACGATAAAAGTATTGTTTATTTAATTGAAGTCTGGTAGGTTTGGTAATGGCATTTTCTGGTTAACCAAAAAGGATCCTACTCTTTAACAAAAAGGTCGGTCACTTTAGGCATCCTTTCCATAAAACTGTCAGACACTGTTAGAAAATAATTTGAGCTTATCGGTGGCATAAACAAACACTTTTAGTGGATGTAAATTGACAGTGTCATATGTTTGCATTGCAGCCTGTTTTGCTACTGCTAGCTGCAGCAATCTTGCTCAACACTGGAACAATTTCAAAAATGGTTGCCTCTATTAGTCACTTAGAAACGAAAACATGGGGAAATAGGGTCCAGGCTTAAAAATACCAAAGTTACCCTTCAAGTACACTTTACTTGAGTATTTTTTTCATTCTACTTGAAGGTTCTCTCCACTCCTTGTCAGAGGTAAATATCAGATGAGAAAATAAGCCCAATAATGTTTCAATACAATATCACAGACATTTTTGTATATTTGTAGCTCCTCATTAAAACAACCAATTGTTGTGTTTTTGCAATTTCTCTTTACATGACCCTGTAATCATATTTATTGGTAACCAGTCCAGATGCTTTTTGCTTTATGCCATTCAAATCAGGCTTGTCTTTCTGCCGAGCTGTGTCTTCATCTGTCTTCTTGTGTAAGTGTCTACAGTGTTGACAGCAAATAAACACAAAGACTCAACATCTCGCCAGACAGGGGTGGAGCTGATTCCATCCCATCAAACTGAATTCAAACAACAGAACTCAATACAATATTACAATAATGTCATGCATCACTTTTCAAATCCATGTTTAAATCTTACATGCTAGGAGGCAGTAAAATATCACCACCAGTCAGTAAACATGATACTGCAAGCAACAAACATGAGCACAGATCAGTTATGTTTTCAGAGAATCATTCATGTATGATTTCCCCCTGTAAAATACACCTTTAATATTTCATGAATTTGAACTCAGCGTAATGCTTCGCGTGGTGCTACACCGACTGAATCCCCCAGCAGGGAAACAGAAAGACGTACACGCAGCCTGCATGCATGACTGCACAAGCGCTCTCACCTTTGTGAGTATACTATGTTTTTCATCTGACATTTATAAATATATGAAAAACAAATCTACTATCCCTCTATAAAATTCATATGTCAGAACTTATTTGAATTATATCAGTCACTTTTTTCCTGGCCAGAAGCCAAATGCATGTATTTAGGCACAAACACACACTCAGGGTGCCATCAGTGATGCTGCTTTATAGGATAACACACTATTAAGCAGTCATTTATACAGACACATTATTCACACAGCAGACACACAGGGGACAGATGCACATCTGTCTGCACAGCGTTTACTCTGACTAGACTTCAGGCTGATTTCACACTGATCATTTCCTCTCTGTCAAAAACTGAGAAAAAAGGGCTTCTTCCACCTCTTCACTTAGATCATCTAACGAGATCCTGACGTCCACTGGATAAAAACTGTGAAAGCTAACTGTCACTTGAGTCCAATAACGCTCACTCCCCTCATTTTAAAGACAATCCAGACGTTCTTATCAGTGTTGCAGTTCCTCTTGTGTTCAGCAGGGGCTGCCCCAAACACACAAGCAGTGTGGGATTCCTGTCACTGCTCCTGCTGCTGTCGATGCTCCAAAATTAACTGGTGTCTGCTTGCCACTCCATAATGCTCAGCTCTCCCCAAAGGGCCTCTTTTAGCACGCTGAAAACCACTTGAGTCGCAGAGCAGCCACAAATCCACACACGGATTTCTTTCTGTGCTGCTATTTATGCACCAAACTCCATGTTGTTTCTGTATATTTTAGGCAGAAATGCCCCATCATGTTGCATTAGGATGCAGAGACGGATATAAACAATAATGCAATATGATTTCATTGCCTCGTACAACTCCAGGGCCAATAAGCTCTTTTTAACTGACTTCAGAGAGATATTAAGCTACCGATTTCACAATATTTTTGTAAATTGAAGTGTTACATCAAAGTGTTTTCCAAAATAGATTTAAAAAAGAAAACGGAAAACAAGAATATGGACATAATCAGATCAAGTTAGGGTCAGTAAAAGGTACGCTTTTTAACACTACATTTACCACAATCCTCTGTTACACACAGATCATTTTAGAGGAGACAAGAGGATTGTGTGTGTTTAGGTGTGTGAGGGTGTGTACATCCACTCATGCGTGTCTGCTGTTGTGACAGAGAGACATGACGGATCCCTCTTACATCAGTGGGAGGCCACCCGGCGCCAGATGACATGCATACACACACACACGCTCACAGCATCAACAGTGACGGATGGAGCGGTCGCCTCCCTCATCACTCACTCCCACAGACAGAGGAGAGGAAGAGAGGGATGGAGGGAAAGAGAGGGGACGAGATGAAATGAGAGAGAGGAGAAAGA